TCCGTAATGTTTGGGATTCAGTTTAAAGTTTGGCATGTCATTTAAGGTAAAAGACATCTTAAAACAAAACAAACAACACTTTTTTTAAATCATTGTGGGTTGGCTATATGAAGATCGATTTAAAAGGCAGATGATTCACGAAATATGGTAAACATTTGATTGACAGCTTAAATAAGAAACAGCCCCGTGACTATTGGGGTTGAGTTCCAATGGCACTGGAGAAAGGTTACTGATCTTTGAGATCAGTTCCTGATTTGAATTTGTTTGTATAGTTTGTTTATCTCATTGATGTTGGGCTTGTTATTTCTGTCGCCATTAGAGAAGCGGTTCTGGGGTTACATCAGTATCCCTGCTTCCGGTTAGTTACTATTACTAACAGCTTTTGTTTTTCCAATGGGTTGAGGACAGTCTCCTGTACAGTAATGAACCTTTTTGTTTTCTTTAGCGGATCCTTATTCGTCCAGGGAGTTGGTATGCTAGGTACAAAGCTCTTCTAAAATAAATCACTCCATCCAGAGCCACTCGGGGGATTAATACACTGAATAGTGTACCACTTGCGTGTCTGGCATAGTCATGGGAGGCAACAAAAAGCCCCAAGGGTGGTGATTTAGTGAGAATATGGCCTCAGTCAATCACAGTGCAGGCCAGCAGGCAGACATGAAGCGTTTGGGCGGATGGCTTGGGTTGGCCTCGATCTTCTCTTAATTGTCCAAAAGCCACCTGCCCTCCAGAGACACAACTCCAGCTGCCAGAATCAATAAATGGTTAGTTTCTTGAGATGTACCCAAGACAGAACATCACAGGAGGGAATGTCAACAATTTAGTGCATGCATGTTTTCTGTTTAACTGGGAATCCTCACTACGATAAGTGAGCAGCGCATAGGTTTTCTGTCAGCCAATCCACACTGACAAGCCAATCCACACTGACAGGACATTAGTGGATTGCTAACCTGTCTTAACCGGACTGAGAGACAGCAGCAGTTTACTGAAACAAAATACTATTCTTGTCCACTCCAAGGGATGCAATTAATAGTGTTTGTACCCCATGTATTAAATCATTGAATTTATTCTCCTGCACACCGAGAAAAATAAATGTGAGGGGTCAGTATGGATTAATAGATTTATTAAAAATAAGTTTATCTTCTCCATGACACATCTGGAATACTTTTTTTTCTCCAGCATGAGCAAATGGGTTTTACCTTGTTAAATCTGTCACCTGGCCCATGCAGCCCCCCGCACCTTTTTGCCTCTGTCAATCCTTAAATTCGCTACTCAGTACATCCGCAGCCTAAATTACGTTAAGCACTACTTGAAGCTTGATATTTAAAAAAGGTGACTCGCAATTAGCTTTTTCTTTATGCAGCAGGATCATAAACTCACTCGCATCAAATATGATTGAGTTACAGCTTGAAGAAAATCTTACAAAACTGTGTGCATCCTGCTGTTTTAAAAGTAGCTCTTTCACAAGACTCATATGATTTCGGTTTTCCGCCTAGAGTTAACTCCCACTCCCACTCCCACCCCCCCCTCCCCTCCCCCCCAAGCTTCTGGATCACTCTGAACTCAACTGTCTTGTTATAGGAAATCAATTTAAGGCAGGCCCAGCAGTTCGCAGTCACCATCAAGCTAACCTTAGCACGCAGTGCAGACCGAGGCAGATCGATAAACAGCAAGCAGCAGGCGTAAACAGCTTTGGCTCTTGTACTTTGTCTTGGCAGAATTTCCGCTCCAGTGTCTGAATTTCAGTTTTTCAGATGTCAGTAGGTCTACAGTATGAATACAACTGCAGTCTGCAGTGTATCTCAGTTCATATGAAATGCAAATGTAATCATATTTTCAATCTTTTACATTATTTAAACAATTGTATCTTGCAATGTATCTCTGATATTTCAAGTTTATATATTTGAATCTAATCCTGACTAGTGTTGTCACGATACCAACATGTTGGTTTCGATACCGATACCAAGTCAAGAATTGCGATTCCGATTCTTTTTCGATACTTTTCTTAAAAAAAGGGAAACAGTCTTAAATGTAATTATTGTGCTTTATTTCACACCAGAACCATAACACACACTTTTAAACAATGAGAACAACAAACAAAATAAATGACAATAATTCGTATTAAATAAAATTAAGCATCATCTCAAACAACTTTTTTGTTTTATAAAATATAATTTGTTTTATATTTTATTAACATGTAATAGTACAGTAATATAAATAATTAGACAAAATGTATATTGCAGATGTTAGCCACATTGGTAAGCTAGCTAAAAAGATAGCCATATTAGACAGTTATCATTGCCATTAATTGCCTCGTCAAACTACGAAAACGTTCGTTTGTCACAAAATAAATTACACTTGTTTGACTTAGATTTGAGGGCATGGGCTTGAGCATGATGTAATTATGTTATCTATCACATTCGCTAACCTGTCTGTCTTTAAATTCTTTAAACAGCTCTGGATGCCGGTCGGCGGGTGCTTAGCCAAGTCTGATGTGTTGGCTCCCTTGGTTTGCAGGGATCTAAAACATGTGTCACAGACAGGCCTCGTGGTGTCCGTAGGCTTGCCATCACTGTCAGAGATATCGCTCAAATACTTCCACATTTCGCTTCTGTCAACAAGCCGAGGCGCAGCGGCAGTTGCACTCCCACTTGCAGCCATGCTTCTCGTTTTCTTTATATATACAGTCTATGGTTTTCTCACATGCTCTGGCAGCTAGCACGTACACGAGAGAGGGGAGGGACTTAGAGCGTGCTTGAGAGGGAGGGGCTGCAGGCACGGCTGCAGTGCAGGGAGTGGAAGCAGAGCGCTGAACACACACGGCTCTTATTAAAACAGCGCTTTCTCACCGGAGTACTTTTCCCCGTCATTCTTAAAGTACCGATACTAATGAAACGGAGGAATCGTACTGTTTTTAACGGCAGGGTATCGCGGTACCTTTCAAGTATCGGTACACCGTGCAACACTAATCCTGACACATTTCTGTTTGGGTATTCTGTTTCCTTTGCTATGGGTATTTGATATCCTTCTGTGTATCTAACCCATTTCAGCAGCATCAGCATGATGTTTTATAAAATGTGTGTTGTCTCATCAGCATCTTGTACTTTTTTTTTATTGTTTAGTTTTTTTTTCAATATGCATCTAACCTTGACCTAATGCCGGTCAGCAGTAGAAATGCTCATCATTGGATCAATTGCATCGAAATCCTTAGACATTTTTTTAAACGAGGCCAAATCGGATACAGAACGGATTTGACCTGTCCCTGTACTGTTTCTATGTAAGTAGTTCATAGTAGTTTATCATTTAAACTTATCAAAGTTCATCAAATCTCATTGGCCCGAAACAGTATTTTTCCCTATTGACCTGCACTGTAAAAGAAACGTTTGTAATTCAGAGAATAATTAGTTTTTGAACGAAATAAACTACCCAGCACGAACACTTTATAGCCCTTCATCAAATCATAAGGGTCTAAAAGTTGTATTATGCGCTAAAAGCCAAACCCTGAAATAGTTTCCCTCACCATTCATTTGACTGGGCCAATATTGGCTGTGATGAATCAAACTAGAGGCGGGGCTTCAGCAAAAGGCTAGTGAGCACGCTCTTTGGGCCCATTTAAGTACTTTTGCTCTCAAGAGTCAGACCATTTTGGCTATATGCACCACTGAGCAACTAGAAATGAACGGCCTCCAACACTGTATCCAGTTCTCTTTATACATCCAAGGGAGACACCCAGGTTAAAGCTGCATGGATTATTTGTTCCAATACAAACTAATCCTAAAACATGACTAATCCAATGTGTCCCATGAGTTATTTTGCAGTCCAGTAGGACCCACAACAGTTTAAAATACTTCTGTTTTGTTACATTTTATCCATGTGCAAACCTTGCCTAGACCTTGACTCTTCCCGTGGGCGTAGACTTAATGCTCTCTACTATCTCCATATGGGAGATGGAGGGGTCTCCTGTCAACCACGGTGGGCTATTCTCAGTGGGGCCTGCAGCAACCCACCCAACCCAATGATCCATCTCGAAACGCGTCATGTTTAACATGCTTTGCGGGTGTGACTTAATTTGCTGTATCAGAACCATTCATATTTATAATGGACAACCAATTATGATTGAATTGGCAACTCGAGCACACTATTGTTCATCCAGACTAATAAGTTAGCTCCCAAAGTGCACCACATAGATGCATTTTAATAAGTTACATTTTGCATCCAAAATTAAGGGTAATAACTCATATTTCTTCATATCTCGATATTGAGATGTCACTTTTTTCCAATATGGTGCAGCCCTATGATGCACTCTTCAATGAGGGCCTTTGTGTCCACTGGTCACTTGAGCTTCCCTCCACTTGATCCCAATTCCTAAATCATTTCTGTTTTTCAGCTGACCTAAGGTCACTTGTTAGGCAACAAGCACACCATTGTGGATCCTTTCCCCCTCCTCCTCAAACGGTGGACTTTGATGCCTACCACTCAGTGACTCGGTGATCCCCTCCTAATGAGACCAGGGACTGTCCCCTTGCAGTGCTAGAGTCCGTTCACCCAGAGACCCACGGGATAGTGAACAGTTACTGGCATCGCAGCTAAACACCCTGTCCCTGTCAACAATAGATATTCCACTTCCTACCAGAAATACACCCACCTAGTTAAATGTAATTCTTGGGTTAGTACGATTTAATCTTTCTTCAGGACTACCATGTATTGTAGTCCTGAATGTTCCACAGCCACAAGAAATTGGAATATCAGTGTGAGAAATTACGTGTTTTCGGGCACTGTATGTGTAACCTTAAAATCTCTTGGCGATTGTATAGGTCTTATTTTTCATTTGTGGAGAATCAAGTCATGTGTGAGCAATGCCTAACATATTCTTCATGGTCAATAAGAACTTTTTCCCCACATAGTATTCCTGAAAACCACCACACTATAATAAAGCACATTTCATGTGTGAAAAGTATTTGAGTAATGTAATGCTAACTCATCATCTTGTGTTTTCCCAGGAGGCTTTTCGGTGGTGTTTCTGGCTCGCACGCACAGTGGTGTCCGCTGTGCACTCAAAAGGATGTACGTCAACAACGTCCCGGACCTAAATGTGTACAAGAGAGAGATCACTATCATGGTGAGAGCAACATTGCGTTGTTTGGTTGTAGAAGTTAAAGATGTTATCTGCCTGTCTTTATTGCAAGAGATTAATTTTTTTATAAATGTTCATTGCACAACTTTTAATCATGGTAGAGGACGTTTAAAATGAACCCTATAAAAACCTATGTGTAATTGTGGTGTGGTTATGTCTGATTTGAAAGCTTTACTGAAAGAGAAGCTTGCTTCTGTGTTTTTTGGAGTTGAACATGATGTAATAAGCTCATAATTTGAATGATTTCCACACAGTTGTATTTATCTGTTCTTTCGCAGTGTCAAACAAATTCTTGGTTTTAGCTGCATATCCTTTTAAAGGGGCCGTTTATGCTAATTTCCAGATTTCATAATTGTATTTTGTGTCATTACTGTGACATGTTTCCCTGCTTTAGTGTTCGAATATATCTTTATTTTTCTCATACTGCCTGTGCTCCAGCACCTCTTTTCAGCCTCTGTCTGAAACCAGAGCCCAGTCTGCTCCGATTGGTTAGAAAGGATTAGATGGACCTTTAATAATCCCCATAGGAAATTCACGTGTCAAGGCAGCAAAATAAGAAGAAGCAAAGATTTTACACATGCAGGTACCAGAGCAGGTATAAGTTGTATGTACATGTACATACAGTTCAAATATGATTAATGTTCAGTGCAGGGTCACAGGGTTAACCCTTGGTTGTGCAGCCTGATGGCTACAGGCACAAAGGACTGTCCAAGGCGCTTAGTTAGATGGCTCTGTTGTGATTGGTCAATCAATCACTGTCCCGCACTGTAGCCTGTCACCTGCAATGTGTTGTAGCGCAGGCAAATAGAAGCGTGAGTGTTACCTAGTGATGTCACTATGTTACGGAAGAAAACAAAGGACTACAAATGATGTGTTTCAGGCAGGGGGAGTGTGGGAGAGAAGGAATTTAGCCTTTGCAGACTATTTACATTCACAAAAACCTATATATTACAAACGGCAGGAAAGGGAAAACCCAAAAATACATAATGGGGTCCCTTTAATCCTTCCGTGCCTGGAAAACAAAGATTTCTCCCAACTTCAGTGCAAAAAGGGTTTCATTTGTACCGGAAGACACTTTACTCATTATGTGAACATTTCACGAGGGCATTGTCGGTTTCACATATTTAATTTAAGGACCTTAATTCCTGTTTAAAGTAGGACAAAATCCCTCATAAAGACGCATGCTCCCATAAAGCCAGGTGCATATAAATTGCTTCATTCCACCTTCCTAAACCATCCTGTTTCATTTCCAGTCTGACAAGAGCTAAAGCCCTTTGGCTGTGTGCTTGTAATAATACCTTGTACAAGTACATTGACAAATACTTTTGTATTATACAGAGCTTGCACTTGCATCAGTACAGCAGACAATTCTAGTTGTGTTTTAGGTCATTCAAAGCAAAGATATTTTTAATGTCTCCTTTAACCTAGCAGACATGCACGACTTGGACAACGGCATATGTCTCTTCCTGAACGTTTGACCCCTGTGTGTCAGTGAACAGCTCACTCTGAGCTGTTTGGCCGGCTTTGTGTCTGTTCACTTGCCTCATCAGCTGTATAATACTAACCCACACAGCTGACCTTACTCATTGACACAGTTCTAGCCTGTTGGGACGTCGCCTTAGGTGTGGCGGTTTCCACAACACACAGCAAATCTCTGCTCTCATGCTGGTTGTTAACAACCAACAACCACAAACACTGTCATGGTTTAATACAGCAAATGAATCAAGTTTAGAAAGATTAGTGGAGCGCAGCATGGCGTAAGAACATGAAGGAGTAGAGCAAGCACTCCAGTTGCCACATGCAGTAGCTTGACTACAGACTATAAGACTTCAATTGATTAAATGTTTTTACTTTATCGGAGAAAGAGATCACAAGCAGTCTTTCCTATGGTCAGTTGCAAATTTGAATGTGGTTTTCATAGCTTGACAGTAGGGATGCTTCGATCGCCAATTTTGGGGCCGATCGCCGGAATCAGTATCGGCCGATACCGATCGAGTGGGCGGGGCCTAAATGGAAGATTTAAACATCACTTTAAATCTTCCATTTAAAGTGATGTTTAAACTCAGTTAATGGGGCTCATTCACTGGCGCTTCCACAAACAACAATCAGCTTAATTATTACATTCAAATGATGTACATTATTCAAGTTTACATTCACGTTGGATAATAACACGGGAGAAATGAGCGGAAGCGCTCTCTTTTCCTCTCTCCCTCTCTCCCTCTCTCTCTCTCCTGACAGCCTCTCAGTATCTCATGCAGCTCACTGATCCAGTAATGAGTGACCCGACAGTGAAGAATAAATATATTTATAACTAGTTTAGCTTGTTCCAGAGGTAGATAACATAGCTAAGTGTGTTAGGTCTAACTCTTGTGTGTTGCTCCGCTCACCGGTCCGTCACAACGGGCGGAGCTGCAGGATTTCTGCTTCACACACGTTGCATACCGCTATTTTACTGTCTTTTTCGGACACCTTAAAATAATGCCAGACCGGTGAAGCCATTTTGGCGAGCTTGTTTTGCCGCGCACAGAGAAAAGTGTCATGTATTTTACATCATACGAACGGCTCTCGCGATCGGCATGTTTAGAGAGCACCGATCGATTGGTAGAGAGTGAGTATCGGCCGATCTCGATCGGAGACCGATCGATCGGAGCATCCCTACTTGACATGGCTCATTAGGGATGGGTACTAAATAATCGTTAATTTATTTATTTGTACATAAAAAAAGGGAATATTCATTCTGTTCCCAATGTTTTTGCTTTTCCCTTTTTAAAAATAAATAAATAACAAAGGACCGATAGAAATACCGCTAAAGTACCGGTACGATAAGCAGTATCGGTTAGAGTAGTAGTATCGTTCAAATGACAACGACTTCCCTTCCTACTGCTCATACATAGCACAACCAGTATGTAGATACAAGTGCCTTCAGGACTCAGAAGTTGCTTGTTTGTAGGGCAACATGTAGGTATCTAAGTCAGTGTTGGACATTTGTTAGTGCTTAGTCCCCTTAAAAAGCATGAATAAACAGCAGAGCAACATTCCTAATATTGAACACTAACACTCAATAGCACTTACATGGTTACACTTGCTTTTGAAAGAAGCAAAAGTGTGTGTAGTCAATCCACATATTCCCTTTGTAGTCATCTACATAATTGCCCTGTGTTTTTTTTAGGCTTGTGCAGTTGAAGCTATGTCCTTAACAATGGCATTCTTGACCTAAAGAGCTTCATCTTTTTCATTATTACTCATGTGTCTTTCCGTCCTAATCAGTTCCATTTTCTTTAATCTCTTATGTAGAAGGAGCTGTCAGGTCACAAGAACATTGTGGGCTACCTGGACTCCACCATCAACGCAGTGTCGGACAGCGTCTGGGAGCTCCTGATCCTCATGGAATACTGTAAAGGTACAGCCCCTCGGTTTCTTAAACCATGATATGATCACCTGTAGGCCTCTCACGATAATTCATTTTGTTGGACGATACATTTTCCCGGAAATTATTGCAATAAACGATAATATTGTCTTCACCGTTGTAAGACCATTTTAGACTACTGACATAATGATAATATATAATAATTCAAGTACATCCTGTCAAACAGAACTTTTTATTGAACATCCAACATTGCAAATGAAATGTGAAATAATATTCAAATATATAAATTATATATAATAAATAAAACAAATTAAATTATAAAAAATTAATTAAATCGCAAAACAATCAATTAAACAAACTCAGGCTGGAAAACAGAGCTCTGGTGGTTGTGTTTCAGATGCAGTTTAAGGTTGGTCGTATTGCTAGCTTTTGTTGCTACCTTTTTAAAACAAATGCGACACACCGCCCGGCTCATTCAAGTCCGTAGGTTCGCCTCGTTGATTTGGCTTAAATCCAAAATATTCCCACACCGGAGATGTAGTATTAGGTTTTGCAACCAATTCCATTTAACTTCAAATTCCCCTCGAGTAAGTCACACGTTGTCTCCTGCTTGTCTCTATATTATTCATTTGGCTGCTACACTGTTGCACGCGGAGTTTCCTGACTTGGCTGTGTGTGAGCCCCGCCCCTCACAGCGTGCCGGGCTAAATTTCTGGTTACATCCTTATGTAAACAAACTATTTTTTCCACAAAATATGAAAGAAAGAGAACCAATTAATAGAAGAAGAAAGAATGGCAGAACTCCATCTTTTTAATAAATATATTTGTTTGAAGACATAGACAATGTTTTTGTTTGTTTTTTTAACAAATGTTACCACTTAACTGCGATTTTACCAGCATTCATTTGAGTTTGTCAAGCCCATTTTCATTTTGTGATCCTTTTAAATTCCCTCCATGTACTGGAGATGCTAACTAGATGTGCTTCTGTACATGTTTATTCCCACATATCCTGTGCTATGTCTTTATTCATTTCAATTTCCCATCACCATCTTGTAAATGTAAGTTTCAATCCGGTCATCTTGAGTATGAATGCAAGCATACAGGGGACAAATGCAACCATGCCAGTTGGAAAATTGTGTTTTTGTAAAAACATCGATCATGCTGGGTGGTATTTGGTTTCCAAGCCTGAACTGATGAACCTAGCTAAAGCTGTCCCTCCACCCCTCTGCTGCAGCGGGCCAGGTGGTGAAGCAGATGAACCAGCGGCTGAATGTGGGCTTCACTGAGGCCGAGGTCCTCCACATCTTCTGCGACACCTGTGAGGCCGTGGCCCGCCTCCACCAATGCAAGACGCCCGTCATCCACAGAGACCTGAAGGTGAGGAGAACGTTAATCCCCCCCGTCTTGAATAGGCCAAAACACAATATTCCTGGTTGGAGGATCAGAATCGGTGGACAAAAATGTTCGGGGATGACTAAAAGCAAAATGTGTCACTTAAAAACGTCCTCAACAAAAACCTCCTTAAAGATGCCCTATTATGCTTTTAAGGTTTTGTTTCCCTTTCTTGTAGTGCGTTTTAAAGGTTTTTGTACATTTTTCTCTCCCACCCCCAAAACCCATGACTTTTATGTGGAAGTTCCCCTGGATTTCTTACTAAATGAGCAAATATAAAAAAAGTTGTCTCAATACCCTTAGCGTTACACTCTGAAACCAATCTTAAGCAATTCATTTTCAAAATGTCAACAAAATCAAGAGGGAACCTTACACCTTATTTATTAAGTGTAATGTCAGATGCTGTTTATAAACTGAAATGTTGTAAATCTGCTCGATCAACAGTAGATAGAAGGCTTTAGTTTCACTTCACTATACCTCCTCAGCTTCCTCTTCTGTCCCTCGCTTCCTTTGCCAGCTTGCCCCCTTACTTCCCCGTGTCGTACACCCTCGTGTCTGTAGCTCATCCCACTCCTTTTCCTCTTTCTCTTTCTCCTTCACCAAACTGGCTCTTTGTACAGGCCACAATAGCTGGTACATCTTGAAATTCCTCACTAACTTTCAGCTAACTTGATTTGTAGAGTAGATTTTCAAATCAAGCCAAATTTACCCTCATTTTGCTGATGCTTGGAGGCCTAGGGTAGGTTCCCACCCTAGTTGAATTCTCCTCAGTGCCCCGTCAGTAGGCCGCTGTACTCTGTCCAGTTGGACAAGCCTCTAAACAGTGGGGTCCCTTCAGCTTCACAGGCCTGTCCTCTGTTCGCTGTCTGTATCTGCCTGTTCAGCCTACATGGCTTACGTAACACTGAGGGACACAAAAGACCACGGAGGCCCTGTCATGCATCGCCAGGGGAAGTGAGAGTGCAGAAAAAGGCCCTTAACCCTGAGCTGTCAACAGCATGGAGACACTGTTGCTTTCAATTGCTCAGTTTTCCCTTGGATAGTTTGAAATATGTTTCTCGATACTCTTTTTTTAGTCTCTTCTCTTTTTCTGTGCCACAGATCCTGCCTAGTTTCATTTTCACAAAAATCTTTGACTTCTTCATTCTTTGCAACTGTCCATTGTTTCCTCAACCAGCCTTTGTTTTGTTTTAGCATTTACTGAGTCATTTGTCATAACATTTTCTTTTGTAATTATGTTGATGCACAGGCTAGGAATATCCGAATATAGCTGAGGCCAAAAAGAAACGCAACTGAAAAAATCTGCTTTCAGAATCTGTTATTGAAAATGTCCTTCTGTCTACTAGGCCACAGAGCAGCTATCACCAGACTATAACAAGGCAGAGTTACAGTAATGAGGTTTTGCCTCAGTACTTCATCACTATGTATTAAATCAGTTGAGTGCGATATGCACGTTTTTACAATTGATTTCCTTCTCAGTATAATGGAGCTGGGGATTACCTCTTACCTTGGTTGTTGGTTTACCTGCCTGCCACAAATGATTTCAGAGTCGCAGTTTAAATGATTTTGAGACATTTCAGACCAGTTCTACTCATGAACGGCTAATAACAAATGAATAACATTAAATACTGAAATGTCCTCTTTTGTTGTAATAGATTACATTTCTACATTTACTTTTTTCTTTAGATTTACAATACACATTTACCACTTATACCATAGATCAATTAAAAAAGGAGCAGAACAACATAAGAAGAATAGTCACTTGGGACAGAAGAAACATGTACTCTCTGAGCTTGGAAAGCAGCTCCGTTATTGGTTAAGACACTGTGTTCAAACGAGCCATTTGAGACCAAGTTACATGCATCTATCATTACACATAAACACTGACTGACTTTTCATGTTTTTTTCTTTATATTGTAGTCCTAAACGTATGTCTGTTCCTCTCACTAGGTCGAAAACATCCTGCTGAACGACCAGGGAAATTACGTGCTGTGTGACTTCGGCAGTTCCACCCACAAGATTTTGCTGCCGCATAAAGAAGGAGTGACTGCCGTTGAGGACGAGATTAAGAAGTAGGTTTGATTTCTCGTCAGTGAATTACATGTCCTGCAAGTGAGGTGGTATGTAAATTAATGTCAAAACAAAATGGCTTTAAAACACCAGCATACAGTATAATGGGCCTTTAGCAACACAGGACTGTTTTTAAAAATGTAAGAAGTTAACCTGCAATTCTTTCATGTGAACATTTTCCTTTAGTGTGTAATATAGGTTTTTGAACTTGTTAATGGTCTGCAAATGCTAGAATCCCAAAGTTCCCTCCAGGGTGTTACTGTTACATAGTACAGCATGAATTGTGGGATGGACATATCTTATAATATTTCTGCTGGTTTAACAGAGTTATGGTGCCATCCAGTCAAAGAAAAAGGCATCAAGAGTTTGAATGAGGCAGCATACCAGCAACTGGTTGATTTGTTTGAGGGTTCTGTTACCTTGACCTTAACAAGGTAGTCTCGTGATGTTGTTCATCGGAGGGCAACAATTCCACCTGCGCACTTTACTCAAACCTGGCTTGTTGCCAGAATGTTTTCAAATACAGCGTGGCACTCAACCTGCCGCACTCCAAGGTCTGTTTGTTTGTGTCCACAAGGCAAATTAGTGCTTGCAGAGCCCACTGGGAGCAGATCAGAATAACTGTGTTCCCCATAAACTAGCATATACTCTTTCTGCAAGTAAACCAAACGTAAATGGGCCGCTGCAAACAATGACTGTGTGGTGGACCCGTTGCAGATGATTGGGTATTGTATGGCGGTAAATGCAGGTCTCAACCCCTACACTTTAGCTTTGCAGTTGAAGTGTGTGATATGTGTTAAATCACTGCAGTCCATTCTGCCTGCTAACTTTCCCACATTTATAGCTGCTATAAAGTTCAGTGAGTGTTGCTTATCAGCAGCACATGACCGTGTGTAAACTCTCTCTCACCATGACACTGTTCACACACAATCCATCAGTCCTCTGAACTAGTGTAACCCACCTGGGCTTATTCCAAACACAATCAGCTGTTTATTATTATCAGAATGACGCTGAAAAGAGAAGCAGTATTTATTTGGCTCTCTGTTACACCAGAAGGTGAACTAGGCAATGTTTGCTGCAGCATTCTGGTTCTTTTATTCTGTGCAAGAAAACAAAAGCACACGTGTGACATCATGAAAAGTGTATTAGGCGGTGGTCAAAGAAATAATCTTGATTTAAGTAAAGCAAGCAAAACCAAATTGTTTTACAGTGATGCCTAATGTTTGTAGACCAACCCAGAAGTTAGCACTCAAGGGCTCAATCGGAAAAAGCAATGGGATTTTCCCATTTGGATTTCAGCATATTGCACAATATAAGCTTCGTGGCCTGCACGTGTTTATGATATTGAACACGTTTTGTTAAGCAGGATAGTATCCCACTATTATCCCCGCTATATGATTTTTGAAGCGTAAATGATATGGGCAGAAATCCAAATCTAACGTGATGCTATAAACAAACTACATCACGGTCACAAGGCTTGTTACCAAAATGGCAGTCAAAAATACAATAGCTGAATAAGGCAAATAAAGTGAGCCGTGATGAACCTTCAGAGAAATATCACCTCAATCTGCCTCAGCTGGCAGCTATTTTTTTTTTTACAAATAGCTCTATTAAAGCCACAAAATACCTGTACACAACCTGCTCATCACCAAACAGCAGCCAGAAACAGTTGGAGACCAGCTGGTTAAGCCCCTGTCACACTGTCCTGAAATTGACACCAGATGGACACACGATAAAGGGCCATTCGTGAGGGCATCTTAAGCCTTCGTATGACCGCCGGTGGAGTTTCTCAGGCTCCGGCAGCAACTTCGTGAGCGGTGGCAACATCTTTGACATGCCAAAAAATTGCCGAAGGACCTTGCGAAGGTTCATTTGCATGTTGAATTTGTGTGTCCATTTTGCCCTTCCTAAGGCCAGTGTGAGGGCATCTTGTCAAATCGTGTCATCTTCGTGTGATCACCGGTGCCATCGGGCATTTTTCGCCTCACGAAGACAATACGAAGGAAACAAGAAGCTGCCCGATTGTCTTAGGAAGGCAACACAACTACGTGAAGCCCTCGCAATGCCGTCGTGTAGCCATCGTATTATAGTACGATGACATCGAGATTGCATTTATTGCACAACAAAATCATGTAAACATATTATGTAAATACCCCAATTTGTGTTCTGTGAAACTGAAAAGGATATTACATTGTGTTTGTTACTTTCGTTGCAGTTGTATTTCTTAAATGTAATTTAGGTAACTTCCTGTTTTATTTAGATGCTTTTATTTTGAAGGCGAGTTTACGCTGTTGACAGGAAGTTGTTGTTGCTATGGAAACAACATGACGGAGATAAGTAATATCTTCTATTCTACATATAAAAACCTTCTGTAGGCATCGTACTTGCTTCGGCTGTTGCTTGACTGTTGACCAAGTTCTGGGCCATCTTCGTGCAAAATTCACAATTCCATATTCGTGTGTCCATCTGGTGTCAATTTCGGGACAGGGGCTTACAGAAAATCGAGCCTTTACCATTTTAAGAGAAAAATATTTCTCTCAGGAGTTGTTTGAGACTGAACGACAGAAAATATTGATTTAAAAGTTGGTGTGTCAAAGCTGCGTTCCAGCTTCCCCAAAATGCAAAGTTTAATGATGCATTGACACATAAGCAGCATTTATATTTTTTAGGTGATCCAGATGGAGCAAAAATGAACTTATGTTTGAGTCTTCCAGGTTAATTTAGCTAAATAAATAATACAAAGAGAGAAAACAAAGTGTCCTTTTTAGAATGTGGCATGTTGGAAGTAATAATAATAATAATACGTTTATTTATTATAGCACCTTTCACAGAAATAGATTTCACAAAGTGCTTCACAAGTAAGAACAACAGTTAAAATTAATACAATAACCACATGAGGCATACATTTACGGTCAACATGAAAACAAAACGCAGACCACGTGAAGTCCTGAAAGGAACAAACATAACAGAACACATCACACACATTTCAAATAGAAATAAAAGTCGTTTTTTTAAAAGCTTCTACAGAGACTGCAGAGTGGAAGACTATGGAGAGAGTTCCAGTGTTGGAGCTCCAGCTGAAAGGTACGGTCACCTTTCGTTTATGGACGAGACCGTGGGACAGCCAGTAGGCCCCGGTCTGAAGACCTAAGGGACCTACTGGCGATATAAGGATGGAGAAGGTCACATATATATTCCGGAGCATTTCCACGCAGGGCTCTACATGTAATAACCAGAACCATACAATCTAAAACGAGTTGGGAGCCAATGAAAGGATTTTAAAATGGGTGTAATGTGAGTCATCCTGCTTGACCTGGTTAACAGTCTGCAGCAGCAATCTGGACCATTTGTAGGCGGTTGAGAGATGACTTGCTGAGACACGTGAAAATGTCAATATTTACAATAATCTAGCCGGGATGATATAAAAGCATGAATGATCATTTCAAGCTGCGCTAATGACACAACAGACCTGAGCTTTGCAATATTTCTGAGATGGAAAAAGCATGTACGGGTCAGTGATTTAACATGCTGATCAAAATGCATTGCCTGATCAAATGTCACACCAAGATTTCGTAGGTTGGACCTAACAGCTGAGGAAAGGGACCCTATACTCTTTACAACTTTTGGAGCTATACTGTCTGACGCAATGATGAGAACCTCTGTTTAGTCTGCATTAAGCTGCAAGAAGTTGTTAGATTATCTGTGTTACAAAACTGTCTAAATGCCATTAAGGACTGGATGTCTATCAGGATTATCAGGTTTAAAAGAGACATAGAGTTGAGTATCATCAGCGTAACAGTGGTAGGAAATATTACTGAATTTGCTGATAGCCTGACCCAAGGGAAGCATATATAAGGGGAAAAAAAAGTATAATAAAGGAAAAACAAGTACCCAGAACTACACTTTAGAAAAGATATCACTGACTGCTTCCTGTTGTTTTTGTCTCAAAGGTACACAACGCTTTCATACCGGGCGCCAGAGATGATTAACGTGTATGCAGGCAAAGCCATCACCACTAAGGCTGATATATGGGTAAGGGCTGTGTGTGTGTACGTGTTAAGCCTCCTGCAGGACTGGTTTGTCCTGGCAGTGACTTGTGCGTCACTCTGCCCCGACAGGTTCCTCCTCTCTGTCTGCCTCTCGCTCCTCTCGCCTCGGGCTGTTTGCCTTCACCAGCTCTCCAACAGTGTTTTTCCCTCATAAAACATTGAGCAACATAATTCGCAACACTCCGCCTCATCCCTCTCTCCCCTGCTGCCAGTCGTCTACCATTTTCCCTCCGTTTGAGATAATGAGGCACAGTTTAGGACCTTGATGAGCTTGTGTTAAATAGGCTCTTGGACAAGAGCTTGGACAGCAGCCATTTTGCAAAGCGGTATAAATTGATGCACCCAGTTAAAACGGCAAGCGCGTAAAGAACTGGCTTTTGTTGCGACACTTTATGCATACAACATGTTTGTACTTGGCTAGCCCTTTTTATCTTTTATTAGATGCACTGTAAATGGGGGGGGGGGGAAACATTATACAGCGAAGTCATGGTGAGGAGGCGGCCTGGGCACATGCAGTGCATGCTCTACCTGGGCTTACCTTATCAAGATGTTTTTATTAAGAAGCATACATATTGCTTCTTTTATATTTACCAGCATCAATTTACATATTAGCCCACTGTCTGCAAACCAGTGCAGACTAGTATACTAATGAACCTGCTTCACCAAAACAGACAATGTCTTCAAAACAAAAGGAATCCAGCAAAGCTGTTAGACAAAGTTTCACTGAAGGAGGTCTCCCTCTTTTCCCAGTATAAATGAAACATAGTATTGCCATTATACATGAGGCTATTCAGTTTCTGTTTTTTGTGCTGCAATATAAACTACCTACTCAATGAAAATGAACACCCTTTAACCTCTTACGTCATAGCTAGCGCAAATCGTATACAAAACAAAAGAGCAACAGATCAGTATGGTGGCCAACCTACTGCCAGAAACATCAGGAGAAACGCGCTGCACTTTCAAAAACGATGAAAATATAAAAACAAAAATGTGCCCAAAAATATGTAAATGAGGATCATCTTCACCAATTTGAAAAACACACACAGCATTTAAACATGGTGCCTATTTGCCAATACGGATATTTAGCAGATACATGGATGCATCCTTAATTGTAATCACCATCAAATGCACATCTCTGTATCAATTGTTGCTTTAAATACGTTTGACCTGTAAGCCACCTAAACCAGTCCTTCACCGCCACCTTTTTACCTGTGCTGGACTATGGTGATTTGTTATATATGAATGCACCTGCCAATTACCTGAGCAAGTTAGATGCTGCGTATCACAGTGCACTGAGATTTTTGACAAATTGTAAAGCACTTACGCATCACTGTACCCTATATACCAAGGCGGTTATGCCATCACTTACTGTACGGAGGCTCAGTCACTGGTACTTTTTCATTTACAAAGCCATGTTGGATAAACTACCACCTTATATCTGCTCCCTGATCTCTCTGTGAATTGAAAGTACTTATTGCCTGAGATCGCATGCTGTGGTTTTATTAAATGTGCCAAGTGCTAGGACTGTCTTAGGGAAGAAAGCTTTTAGATGTGCAGCTCCACTAACATGGAACAGTCTGCAAAAAGAATGGAAAATTACCAAGCTAGTACCACTACATGTTTTTAAAGCTCGGTTGGATGCTACAAAATCAGATGCTGTTGGTACCTGTACATGTGGTTAGATATGTAAATTGTAATCCCTGTACATTTTGCTGTATGATGTCCTTTTGTTGTTCTGTTGTTTATGTTTGTATGTCTTCTTGTGGAACCTACTGCTGCAGGTCTCCCTTGAAAAAGAGATCATTGATCTCAATGGGATTTTACCTGGATAAATAAAGGTTTTGAATTGAATTGAATTGACCTATCGTCAGTAATAGTCAAAAATGAGATGAATTGACAAAAGCTGTGGTTATAGGAACTACTCTAGGACATAAAACAAAAACACCAACTTCCTGTGTAGACTACCCCCTGCATTCTCACTTCCTGTTCTATCTTTAGCCACGTGTTTGAAACTGCTGTTTTATACATAGTGTCTCACACAAATGTTATATGCATTTATCCATGCATTTTGCCCTTGTTGGAGGATACGCCGCCTGACTCAGATAAAAATGTTTAGCATCAGACTGAATTACTGCGAATATTATCCATCTTCAGAAAGAGCGCTGAAAGGAAAAACTCCCCAAACACTGTGGCTAATTCCAAATTCTCTTTCATCTCCAAATGTATCATCAACGCAAAGGTGCCCGAGCCAAATATAGCTCCCGCTGAATGTATGATTTGGGAGCAGAGTACTTTAGCATGTGGGATTGTTTGGACAGCCATATTGCCAGGGGAGCAGGCTCTGGGCCTGTATTTTAAAGCATTGACATACAAAACATTGATTCTTTGCTTAGCAGTTCTTTAGAGCTCACTCACTAGAGAAAGGCAACAACGTCACCAGGATTACATTTTTGTCTTAAAATGACTGCAGTAATTCAGTAAATTCAGTGATTATTTGATCAAATATTCCCTTTTATGAATCATAACCATGTGACATTTATGCAATATTTTCAATTTGGACAGGTTACTTTAAAACTCAGTTTTCTTTAAGAAAAGATGCTTTTGAATTGTTAAAGAAATGCAATAGGCACAATACTATATAGTGCAGTGGTTCCCAACCTGGGAGGCCAAAGATCGCAGGGGGGGCGCCAGGCCTCAAATGATTTGAGGCCAAATATCATATTTAGACTTTTTTTATATACATATAATTGTAAAAGGCCTCGTCTCTACACTACAATAAAATATAAAAAATAATTGATTGATTCATTTGAATAAAAATTCAAGTTAGTAGCTATTAAAGGTATACAAAGACAGAAATGTATAATTCTTTCTTTAATATAAATGTTTCTTCCGCCCGTAAAGTGTCCAAACCAGGCTTTTCTGGATAAGCGCATTTTTAAAACATAGTCATTGTCCATGCCGGTTTCAGTTGGATTATTTGTCAATTGCTCTGATCAGATCAGTCTCCTCCATTTTGTAGATTATTTCCGACTTTTGAATCCACATAAACACAACGGCAAAATCCGGCTTACTTTGAGCATGTGTTTTAAACAGTTTAATCCCTTTGTGAATTGTTTCCACTTGCGCCGTCCTTTCATTTCTTCATACAGCGGGAATCCAAATTAATTAATCCTGAGTCCAATAACCATCAAAGTCACTCCAATAGTGCTCCTTAATTACGCTTTCATCCTCCTTTAACAAAATACTTCACATTCACACAGTTTGTGACAGTAGTTGTAGCATTTTTGAGACTTTTAAACTTTAATTACCGCCGCAACTTCCAACAGTAGTCATTTGGGGGGGCCCTTGGGAAAAAAGGTTGGGAACCCCTGATATAGTGCATTACAATGGTGCACACATGGAGTGGTGCAGTGAAGACGTATTTATGTATCCCACCCCGGGATTTAGCATCACGAAAAGCAATGGGATTTCTTCATTAGATTTTTGCAGAAAATAAACTTTGTGGCCAACACATTTATGTTTACGTTTATGATACCGAATATGTTTTGTTCAGCAGGATAATCTCCAAACATTAAGTGCACTTTGTGATTCTTCAGAGCTTAAATGCAATTAGCAGAAATAAAAGGCTAACTTAATGCTATAGACGAACTAAATCACAGTCGCGTGACTACGCATCATCACCGCTGAGCTAGAGGAGGCGAGATCACATTTAATAGTTGATATAGTCGCTTGTTAGCAACCGCCGTTTTATGACACATAGAAGCTTAGGACATTTATCAGTGCGTTATTTACTGATATCGAAGAACACAACATGAACATCTCTTCAGCTTTTGGTAACCCAGTGCCAATGAACATTTACAGTGACCCACAGCCCTAAAGTTTCTGGGTTCCTGTGTTTCTCATGACGGTTTCTGTTTTCTCCACAGGCACTTGGATGCTTGTTGTACAAGCTGTGTTTCTTCTCACTTCCATTTGGGGAGAGTCAAGTTGCCATTTGTGACGGAACCTTTATCGTTCCAGATGACTCCAAATACTCGTTCAAGTTACACTGTCTAATCAGTAAGTTTGTGACTTTAAATGAAGTCAGAAAGTGTATTATAATGATTTTGGAGTAGGAAATTACGCACTGAGAATCATTTACTATTTCTATTGAGCTATAAACACGTTTTTATGCATTTACATGTTTTAACTGTTTTAAGTACTCCTTGTTTGCTTTCAAGTTATCAACCTCCCTAAATGCATTCTGCAGTGGATCTTCCTTTTAAATAAATTGACCAACAGCTCCACCAAGTGGCCAAAGCAAGAAGTTGCAGATCAAGCACATTAATCATGTTCACTGATGCTGTATAAAACAATATCTTTGTCTTTCCCAGGGTATATGCTTGAAACTGACCCGGAGAAGAGACCAGACATTTACCAAGTGTCCTACTTTGCCTTCAAATTAGCTGGGAAAGAGTGTCCAGTGCCAAATCTCTTTGTAAGTCACCACATTGAAGCGTCTGTGTGGCAATAGCGTCTGCATACATTTGCATTAAACATTTATTTCCTGCCCTTCTTCCTTCTTCTAGAACTCTCCCATCCCTACGTCGCTTCCAGAGCCTCTAACTGCGAGTGAGGTCGCTGCTAGAAGGAGCATGACGAAAGCCAGGTACTGATAACTCATGGTTTTTACTTGTGATATACAATGATGGATAAATACAACATAAAAGACCATTTTTTTAAATTAAGAATAGAATAGTCTTCAGGATTGCCCTCACTGCAAAGCTTGCTTTTTTAAAATATCAACTTTTGACTGCTTTGTCCCAGGATAACAGAATCCGTGGGCCCGACGGAAACATCAATAGCTCCCAGACAGAGGCCAAAGGCGGCAAACAGTAACGTCCTGCCGCTCGCCAACACTGTCACCCCTGTAAAGATGACCGTGCCCTCAGCACCCGTCAGCAACGGTCAGAAAGGTTTGTACAACATCAGTGAGATTCTTATTTAACATGATACAGAAGTTTCTATTTTCTTAACACTAGAACCGCCAACGGGGACATTTTACCCGCAGCTGTTTTTTTAATTGTATGTAACTTTTTTTTCAATAACATATTAAAGTCTCCCAGTCCGTGACTTTTCCTGAAAGTGTGTTATGTAGCACCCTCTGTTGTTAACAATTGTCAATATGAAGTCAGATTGAAAAAATCGCCAAAAGAAATGCCATTTATACCTATATCCGCCAGCAGGTAATATTTACCTCATAGAAAATGCAGCGTAAACATGATGTGTTGCTATAGCAACGCCTTTTGTCTACTGCGGTTCCTTACAGATAGAGCAGTGTTTCTCAAACTTTTTCATACCAAGGACCACTTAACCAATAAAAAAACACTCGCGGACCACCTAACTCCACAAATATCCCAAAACACATCGTTTTTTACAAATCGCCTGAAAATGGTACAAACAAGTGGCAACATGTGTGATGAAGGTGTTTATCTGGGCTATATCATGCAATCGAAAGTGAAACTTAAGCTCGCTCCATTGCGGAGATATTCGCGCAAGTGTGGAACACTTACATTTATTTATTTCTAAAGTGACATTTTACCAATATACTCACGGACCACTAGGGGGCGCTCACGGACCACCAGTGGTCCGCGGACCACACTTTGAGAAGCACTGAGATAGATAGATAGATAGATAGATAGGTAGGTAGATAGATATATTGACAGATGGATAGACAGATAGATAGTGTAACATCTTGGAGAATACAAGATCTTGGATGACTGAGCTCACGTTGAGGACGTAATGCATGTGTGCAGGTTACGTGCCAGTTGAATAAAGATGGACACTCGGAATGAGAGAAGTAGTCCGCGTCGTCTGTTTATGTAGACAATTATATGTCCATAGAACAGAACATTACAGATAGATAAACCATTTGTGACCGAGAGTTGACCGGTCATAAACTGGGAACAACAACATATGACTGAGGCAGCTCATTCCTTAAAGGGGACCTATCATGCAAAATGCACTTTTATACATGAATATGTGTCCCCGGTGTTCCAGGGAACTCACCAAGTGTCAGAAAACACAATCCTCTCTATTTTCCTCCATACCCAAATCTCTAAAAAAGGGGCTGCAACGGATCTGATACAGACTGATCCAGATTTGAACACTTTACTGACGTCAGTAAAGTGGCGCTACGGCTATTGGTCAATTCTCCACCAATCAGGGGAATGAGAGGTTGGGCCACGGCCGGCCATTGCTGCTCGAAAGCGGTGGAGACGCTGTAGTACATATGCCAGGCCTGTAAGTGGCGCTGTAGTCTGCCACAAAAGCAGCGAAGAAGACTTCCCTTGCATGGTTGCCATGGTTGCCCTTCTGTTTATTCTCCGCTGTGGCTCTTTTTCTCCCTCCCCGAGGCAAGCGTTTGCGCCTCCTGCTTTAAAACAAATGAATAATGACTCTATATAATCATATGTAAGGGATAATGTGCAGCGACGCGGTCATTATCGGGAAAAGAACACCGACAGGCTGATCAGGAGCCCGACGCGAAACGGAGGGATCTAGATCGGCATGAAGGCACATTATGCAATGTGCACGTTATCCCGCTTGTTACACATGGCCACATTCTCGACAAAGTAACGACATGACTCCCAATATTAATTGAAATGCTTTTATGGATTTAGAAAATGATTTTAGTGATTTAAAAAATAGTTGTATTGATTTAAATTGACATGCATCCGCTAAGAAAAATAGTCCGTTGTTACTGTTTGAACTAACGTAGCAACGGCAGGAACTGCTTCGATAGCGTTTTTGAGGAGCTTTTTGATTACAGATTTGAAAACATCGCACAATTCATTATGTCAAACCTTGGAAAGTATCTAGATATCCCTGCCCCAACTGAATATGTGTCGCCGTTTGATGTCTATGTCTGGACCGCTGCGTAAAAAGGAGGGTTTCTGCCCCATTACTTCTCTTCTTACTTCTATAAGAATAAAACACGGTGGACGAAGATCTCTTTTTCTCCCCCTCTTCTCCCCGCTGCAGCCTAGCAGCTGATCTCAGAGCACGCTCCCCTCTCCTGCAGGGGGGCGTGGTCAGCTGCAGCTCACAGAATCAGCCCCCTGCAAAAACAGCGCTGGAAAGAGCAAATAGAGCGAAATGAGGCATGGCTAAAATGCAGGATCGTTTTGGTATTTTGAAAAAAAACTATATTTATATACTTTATATAGGTATGGCCTTACAATATATTGTTCAAACATAGCATGATAGGTGTCCTTTAAGGGAGATATCAGACGTCAGGGTTGGTCATGAACGTCAAAGGGCAAAAAGGTTAGATATCTAGGAGTAAAGGAGAATTATTCCCTAACAATGTTGTCTGATGATATGACCCAGAGGTAATAGATAGATTAAAAATTGTGCAGTAAGCATTAAGACATCCACCCGAAGCGCTTTAATTGGGCTCAATCAATGGATATATCAATTTACTTTTTTCAGCAGAGTGTTTTCTACCACGATTTTCAAACATACTTATGATGTCAAGTAACAGGACTGCCAGGTAGAGAAAATACTTAAAGGCCAACATTTGGTTTTACGTCAAAATATTATTCCTCATGGAGGACCCCAGAGGCCTGTACGACGAAGCCGGTTCAACATAACCTGGATATGTTTGCGTTACCCGGTTTACCTAATCCAAAACAAAAGCGCCCTCACTAAGCGGTCCTACGACGCAGGTTATCAACTCGTTAACTCAAACCAGCTTTGCCCTATCTAGTTAGGTGCGCGTTCACATGAAAGGGGTGGTATTTGGAGCATTCAACCAATCACAAACATGGACAAGCGTACTGATAGCACAGCGCGTCATACTTCCTGAATGAAAAGTCAACTATAATATTAGACAAATATGAAGACGTTAAACTTTAAACATCCATGACTTAAACACTTTATCCAGGATCAAAGCCACATAGCTGCACCTGCAAGGTGAATACAGCTGGTAAAAGAAAAAGTGTTTGAATGCTACATTAACAGGTTTATGATATCACTGCCCCGTCCAAGACACGAGTGGATCTGACTTTAATTACATTTGACTCAAGTGTTTCGTCAACTTAATGTGTTGCTTAAAATAATACTTCTGCATACAGTCTGTGACACTGTGAGTGTTGCACGGCCAGATACGGCTCAAGAAGCTGACTCAGATAAGGAAATATATGATACATTATGATGTGATATGAATGATAATGGGACACATCGAAGTCTGCACTCACAGTGCCGCGGACTGTACGTAATGTTACTTTGATCCGGTTACTTATGTTGTGGCAGATATTTAAGTAAGCTTTCTTAACGCTAATGTTATAATAGTCAGATTGCTCTGAAGATGGGAGGTGATATTTTATTAATGTTCACGTTCACACAGTCGGTGATTTTTGCAGGTTAGCCGCTCAGCATAAGTTACCATGGAGATCTAGCCCGCTAAGAAGTGAACCAGCGTCGTAGGACCAGAAACCCAGAGTTTTCCCTGAAGTTAGCTCGCTAAGTGAAAATCCGGCTTCGTCGTACAGGCCACAGGCCTAGAGAAAATCAAAACTTGTTTTGACGTCCGATAACTTTTGACAAACTAATAAATAGCATTACTTCATACTTCGACAGCATAATCACAAATACTTTTCCAAATGGTACTTTCAGAATTTGTTTGTACACAAATACACACATTTTGTGGCATCTGTGCTTAATGCTGTGTCGTATGTAAGAAATCCATCAACCTACTCCTGTCCACTCAGCTCCCACCCCTGGCTCTGGGCAGCCCTCCGTGCAGCCCCAGCCCAGCAGTCAGCAGCACCGGGTCCTGCAGCAGCTACAGCCTGGTGACCTGCGTCTACAGCAGCTACAACAACAACAACAACAACAACAACAGCATCACCACCACCACCAACAACAACAACAACAACAACAAGCAGTGCAGCAACAACATGCAAATGCACAGCAACTCCAATACCTCCAGGTACAAACTTACAAACGATGCAACTTCACCACTTTTCAAGCACAAGTGAAGAACAGATGTTTCAATCCCTTTGCTCCCCTCCTCAGTACCAACAGGCTGTGCAGCAGTCCCTCCAGCTTCAGCAGCAGCAGGCCCTCCTCCAGCAGCAGCAGCAGCAGCAGCAGATGATGATGCAGCCCATGTACCAGCAGCAGATTGCCCAGGCTCAGGCCCAAGCTCAGGCTCAGGCTCAGGCCCAGGCTCAGGCCCAGTACGCAGCCATGGTGAGTTCTGTCAGGTCTAAACGTGGCGACTAAGCTGCCACGGCTTGAATTTGATTTGATTTCTGCCCTTTAACCTGTTAAGCCAGAGAGACCCCGGTACCGGGGCACTGCCGCAACATCTTGCAGGAAACAGTGTCTGAGGGCATGTTCATTTAATAAACTATGAATGTTTTAAAGCCATGTAATGGGAAGAAACTCATCTAACTGATCATTATTATTTTGTATTCAAAATAAAACCCACAATGCTAACGCTGAGCCTCTGAATTAGCAACGAGCGAAATATGCTAACAGATGACTGCACCGAAACTCACTCACAAAACCTTATTATTTATCTTTGCTGCACATCGTTTCACATCGTGAGGTGACACAGAATCGAAGGGTACCCTCATTATCACTCAATTATACGAAATCGCGACTTTATAAACAAAAACAGACATCAAAACATGTGGCGCTAGGTAGCTAAAAATGCTAACATGGCTCACCTGTGTCTTTGTCTGGTCAAACGTGGTCTTCAATGGCATTAAAACGATAAAAACGCTGCTGAAGTTAATCCATAGGTTAATCCAATGTGTCTGTGTCCCTTTGAAATGATTTCTGATAATCCATGAGCAATAAACCTGCTTTTCCGTTTCCAGATGTCAGAGCTAGAGACAGCTTCACTCATGCAAAACTGAGTGTGCGAAGCCCACACCTTTTTGTTTGACCATGTGTGTGAGTGGGGAGATTCCCCTTCGATTCTATTGGCTCTAACGGTCAAAGAGATGTCAATCACCAAAATCGACCAATGGGTTCCAGAGAAACGGTAAAACCCCCATTTCCATCCAAATCACCTCAGAGGTGGAGTTTTTTTGGCTAAACCTCTCTAAAAAGGTCAAATGTCACTTGTTTTGCATCAATCTTGATACAGGGTACTTATTATATGTTGTACTTTGGATTCCTAAAGCTTTTAGTCTACCTTACCATCATCCAAGGGTAGTTTTCACTATAGAGTGGCGAAGTCATGCCCATGGGACCTTATTTCGGAAAAATTATGTATTGAAGTCAATGGAGAGAGAAAACTTATCTTTCGATCCCGTTTGAATTGTGCCATGAATTACACATATGATGTTTGTCAATCTTAAAAAATCATTTCCATGTCAAAAAAGTCACAGTTTGTCTTAAAACTGTTGAAATATAAGACTATGGAAAATATGCAACTAGAAAGACTACAAATCCCAGAGTCGCGTACATTAACGTTACACATTACACTCGTGTTACTCACTGAAACCTTGTATAGCCGGTCCCGCATGCTGGCTCTTGCAGAACCGACTAACTCCCCTTGTGTATGTACAGTTCTCAACATGGCCAGACTTGTAGTGATTTTCACCTCTTTTAATACTTTTCACTTCATTCTGAAAGAAAGAGGTGAAATGTGCTAACGTGACGGCCATCTTGGTGTTGGTGACGTATGCGAGACCAGAGTTGTAGTTCATTGAGCGCTTCACACAAACAAATGTGTTACTTCACAGTTTTACGACACGTTTACATTTGTTGACTTGCAAAATTATCTTTTAAATTGACAAACATCATATGTGTAATTCGTTGCACAATTCAAACGGGATCAAAAGATAATCTTTCTCTCTCCATTGACTTCAATACATGATTTTTCCGAAATAAGGTCCCATGGAGGTCCCCCGGAAGGGGAGGGACTTCGCCACTCTACAAGTAAAAAATTATTTTTGGACGGACACTATAATTTAGAGTTTTTTTACTATGTTCAATCTAAATTTTCTTTAAAATAAAAAACATCTATATTGATTCTGACTTTTCTACATCCAACTCACAGGTTTATCATTACTTTGAGGAAAAATATTATTAATTTAACCCTTTTAGAAGGGAAGATATGGTCATTTGTTCTGGGAATGTCATTTTCGAGCCTGAGACCTGAAAAACAGGCTCAGGGCTAAACTGGACGTCTTCCAGATCAATTTGCTTTTGTTCAACACATTGAAGCATTCTTCTACCACAAAGTCACGACAGAATTTCAGAGCAGAAGATTCTATCCAAAACGGCAATAAATAGTTTGAGCAAATGACAGCGAAACACATGGAGACACAGCGTGAAGTAACACGGAGATGAATACTTAATTTAATGTCAGAATGGCCTAAAATTGCTCTCTGTTCCAAACACTGGCAGACAAAAGTCCTCTTTAGTGGAATCGCTTTACTTCTGTGCCAAGCGGCATTGGAAGCAGACGCTCAAACTTCCTACTGACTCTTTCCAAATATTCTGAAAACTAGTATTTACGCAGCTACTGAATCAAACACACAAACACAGGTCCTCCAAATGTGCTCTGCTAGGGCGGCGCAATTTTTAGTCTGTTTCCCACCGAACACGTACCATCTGTTTTATTTCAGAGGCAATCTGGTCAGAGCGAAGCCACAAGGGGATCGAACAGAGGGTGAAATCGAGCAGTTTCCTCCATGTTGCATCGTGGCATATGAAGCAGTTTACAGGCAGGGGAAGAGAGCACCTCGAACAAAAAGCATATTCTTATTCCCAAGATACCTGCTAAATGTTAAAAAGCAGCATTTCCCCTCTGATCTTAGACCTGCTCCTTTCTGTGATGAGGAAAGCTTTGCTAAATGACTGCACATTTTTCAACACTAACTTTATTGCTGCAGCACTTAACAAGCACAGACCAATCTACATTTTTTTTGAGAAAAACTCAGAAAAATGGGCTTGAGGATGGAGCAACAATAGCAAGATTTATATCTAAAATCTGAATCATTAACCATATTGAACGTTTCTGCCCTTGTTGTCCACTGTATTTCTGGGCTCCCTAAACAACACTGCTAGGTGCTCCTTGTAGTCCTAAATCCAAATTGGAATGGGATTTTTTGGCTACAGATCTTTTGAAAAACAATACATATTTGTTTAGTGCACGTTCTTTTAATGGAAAATAAAACCAAATATTAAGCGAAATATGTCACATTATATAATGACTGTCACCGAGTCATCATTTTGAGAAAAAGGCCTTCAAAGTTTTTTCTTCTCTGGAATCCATCGATCTGATTGATTATTAGCGGAGCAAATTATCAAAATACTACGGAGGGAAGATATTTTAGTTTGGAGGGGAAGCTCGCGAGTGTGTGTGTGTGTTTGTGTAATTTTGCGTTTGTGTGTATTGTGTTTGTTTCCCGGGTGAAAACACTCACGAGAAACACGGCTGTTGTTATGCCTGCTGTGACGTTAAGTTACTCCGTTCTCCACTTGTAATTATGCCGTCACAAGCTTCAAAGCTGTATTTATCATCTGAATTTGCCGAAACAAGTTTAATATTCTGAAAGCCAAGACTTTGTTTATTTGAAATCAGATGAAAACAAACTGTAACGGACCCTGCCGTGTTATCTATGATTACTATACTCTTACATTCATAATGTCAGCGGGAGGGAGGGGGGAGGGCGGCGCTGCGGAAGAGCAGATTGCGAGTGAGAGGTGCCATCATCCCTTTACAAGCTTCAAAAATGTATTTATCGTGTGATTTTGGAAATAAAAGTTTCATATTCTGAAAGCCAAGACTTTGTTTGTTTAAAATCAAACAAAACACCCGAACACCGAAAAAATAGTTTTTTACGTAAATCCACGTTTATTTTGAAATGAGCCGTTGCGACTTCCGACTGATTTCGATAGAGCGGGTCACATATTATATAAGCATTTAGTTCAAATAAGATTTAAAATGCTCACAGGTTTTACACCTCTTATGAAATGTAGACTACATTTATTATGGAGTTTATGTCCGAGCCAACAGACTCACAGATTGTTGGCTACTGAGAGAGATGCCAAATACACCGCATGTAGTACGACACAAACCTCCGCTGTGGATTTTCAAAACAAAATACAGTAAAACTATGGTCGCAGGCCCAAGTTTAACTCTCTGAGGTCCAAGCCATTTTTTCACATGTTAAGGTACGGACACACCAACCCGATTATCGGCGTTGGTGGGCGTCAGGCCGAAGATGAGTGTCGACACGCCCTACTCGGATTGGTGTGTCCCGCACCGTCGGGTCTTTTCAGCCGACCCGAAGCCTTTTCGGCCGAAAACCGTCGGCCAAAGGCAGTCGGCAAAATAAATCACTCTGATTGGCTGTTTAGCTTAGCGAATCAGTGCATGATTGAGAAGCGAAACGGAAGTGAGGGACCCAAACAAACGATTAAGAAGGCAAATCTGAGATTTCATTTAACTCCAGCTCTCGACACAATGGGAAAAGCCCCATGAGCTTCTCGTTGTAGAGTGAAAATGGAACGCACACGCTATTTGTTGCTTGTTTATATCACGCAGTCTGTTCTTCTTCTCTCGGTTATCACGCGGTCTGTGTCACTACCCGATCTGCAGCTCTGCCCGATCTGCAGTGCGCATGTGCGAGATGGTCCGCCATATTGAACAACTCCGGACGGCAACCCAAGTAGGACACAGTGGCTTTTGGCAAAGCTCAAAAGGAAAACTCGAGAGAGATGAGTTATTGTCATTACAACGTGACTTCACTATTATTTAACAACTCTTTTTATTGGATTATTTTATTTGGGGTTAAGTACATTGTCAGAATAAGTGAGAAATGGATTTAACTTCTGTTAGCCATATGCCATACATTTTTGCATACATTCACAGTAAATATTTATTCAGTATGATAGCTGTCTAACAGAAGTTACATTAATTTCTCACTTATTCTGACAATGTACTTAACCCCAAATAAAAGAACCCAATAAAAAGAGTTGTTAAATAATAGTGAAGTCACGTTGTAATAAGAATAACTCATCTCTCTCGAGTTTTCTTTTTGAGCTTTGCCAAAAGCCACTGTGTCCTACTTGGGTTGCCGTCCGGAGTTGTCCAATATGGCGGACCATCTCGCACATGCGCACTACAGATCGGGCAGGGCTGCAGATCGGGTAGTGACAGTCTGTCTTCCGGTTATTGCCTCTTTTGAATGACGAATACACACTACCGCCGCCTGCTCGTAAGGAGAGTTATTGCCACTCACGCATGCGCAGTTCGTACGTGCTTCTTGGCCGTCGGCTGAAGTCTTTGCGGTGTGTTCCAGTGCGACACATGGCCAAAACGTAGAGACGCGAGGTGAGGCAACAGTCGGGGTCCGTCTGTGTCAGTTCTTTGTTGTCAGATTGGTGTGTCCGGGTCTTTAGGCTCGCCTGTTTTTTTTGTAAAAATGCTATTAATACATGAACCTTGGTGACCATTGGGCTGGCCTGTATGGTCTGCCTAAAAAACTAAAATAGAAAAACGTTTATGCAGCCCCAACAACAGCCACTGATCATCAACAGACTTCATGCAATGCTTCATTGGATGCATATATTATAATCTCTATCTCACTCTTAACACATTTAATCTACTTTCTGCATGGATAAATGTTCATAAAATACATCCATTGTTTGTTTTATATGCTTCTTGAAATCCTAAAAAACACGTCGTTTTTCTTGAACAGATTACAAGTTGCCTGAAAATGGTACAAACAAGTGGCAACATGTTTGACGAAGGTGTTGCACTGGGCTATATCATGCAATCAAAAGTGAAACTTAAGCTCACTCCATTGCGGAGATATTTCCGCGAGACCGCGGAAAACTAAAATATAATAATGTATTCACCCCCCTCCGTTGACAGGGGTCGTCAGTCTCTGGCACTGTTATTTTGGGGGTCGCGGGCTGAAAAGTTTGGGAACCCCGGTCCTAGAGCACCATTGTGGTTTTGTTTTTTGCTTTCTGGTTACTAGCAAGATTAGTTGAGTTGAAATGGTCCGTCAGTGTTTAAACCTTATTGCATTTGGGATTGATTTATTTGTTCAGTTTGGTCTCCGACGTGCTGTTTGACTTTCATTCCTCCGTCTCTCCCCTCCACTGTGTCCCCAGCTTTCCAAATCCAGAACTGGTTTCTAACAACATTTCATCATCTTGTTGCCGTCATTGTGCACCATGAAAACAAAGGTCCGTCCCTCATTCCCTTCTCCCTCTTCTTCCTCTGTTGCTTCCCTAACAGCTGCACCAGTACCAACAGGCTTTTATCCAACAACAGCAGCAGCAGCAGCATCATCATCAACATCAGCAGGAGCTTCTTCATCATCATCAGCACCAGCAGCACCTTCATCCCGCTCCGCAGACTCTCCCCTACATGTCCTCCCCTCTTGAGTTCCAGATTCCGCTGGGATCCTATAACACGACCCCTCCCACTGCTGGAGATGTGCAGGTGGGGGGGCCGTCACCTGTCGACTCCTCATACTCTAACCCCAGGTAAGACCCACTGAACTTCCACCAGTCTCAACCACCCTTTAAACAGTGCCAGAGCCCACAGTGTGTTCCCGTTAAAGTGAACTTCCTGTCTGTCTTCTCTTTCCTTCTCTTGTTCTCTATATCTTTTCTTTACTTGGAAAAAAGCCATCATGAATCCAGAAATGGCAAATATAAAAATGACTATTCAAAAAGTATTCCACAATGTTTTTTTGATAAAACTTGTATCCATACGGGTTCTCACTGATGGAGGGGTGGGAGGGTAAGGGACGCGGGTAGTGCGTGGCAATGCTTACAGATGGAGCGCTCCATTTCAGACGCCTACCCGTGCGGGTCCGTGATCGGCACGGAGTGGGCCCCTGCTGAAAAGGAAAACCCCCCCGCAGGACTTGAAACGCCCCCTTGATAAATACATTTAATTATAATGAAACCAGCTGCAATGGATAATGGATCCACCAGGGGGACCCGTGATTAAAAAGCTGCCACACTGGAACCCATGTGAAATAAACAGCTGATCTACAGGTATCTGATATAGCGGATATTTGTTAAGATCCATATGTCACGGATAGGATCATATTCTGTGCTAAATAAGAGACATGTAATCATTTACTAAACATCCCCATCTTTTTATTTAACAAAATAATGTTTAATTCACGTTGGCGTAAGTACAAATCCATCGCTATGTTTTTAGATCAGGAAATGCATCCAGGCTCAAACAAACGATTTTCAATCATCATCCTCACGATCATTTAATGTATCATATGTTCGCGAGTTGAAATGAATGCACTAAATGTAATCCACGTGAGTTTACAACAACAAAAATAATCGCTTTGTTTTTATATCACATCCGACCGGAGGAAAATGCAGCACGGGTCTCACTACCGATCATCCTAATCCCACGGGCAAACAATAATATGTACAGTGTTAATAGTTTACTGTATTATTATGGCGCGTTTCCACTGCAGCGGGGTAGCCCCGTTTAAGCGTCCCTAAGCGTCCTCGCTCTGGCCTCGGGCTGCCTCGCTGGCCGGCCCAGGCCGTGGCGCATTTCCATTACAGTTTAGGACCTGGGGTAGCAACGCAGTGTAGGCGGGGCGATCGGCTTTGTTTTTGTTCACATTTCGAGTTGTTCCGTCGAGCTCCCGCTGGATTTGATCATCCCCAATGAGATGAAGGAACGTCGTCACCTCCTCGGTCGACCACGGTGTGCTTTTCTTATTAGACGTAGCCATTTTTGTAGCTCATCCGTTTACAAAATGCTGTTTATAAAAATGCTGCAAGCTTGCTTCTAGATATATATGCGACGCTAGGGATGAACTCGCGCGCAATCTTGTGACGATTCTCTCTGACCAATCAGCAGTCGAGAGTGTTGACGTCACTAGTTCAGCCCTGGCCCTGGTCTGATAGAACCACGATTTTATGAGGCCGGAAAAAGAGGGAAAAAGTACCCGCTAGCCGGTACTAGGCTATATGGAAACGCCACCAAAAACCGGCCTGGCCGCTTGAGGACGGTTAAGGACGCTTAAACGGGGCTACCCGCTGCAGTGGAAACGCGCCATTAGTGTCTAATATTACTGGGGATTTCGGAATGGTAGCCTACTGGATTTTGATGTATTGTATCGGCTTCATATCGCAATATATTCCCGAAGTCTGAAATGCAAAAATGTCCCACATTAGGGCAATTCACCCTACATTTAATCATTCATACAAAATCATATTTCGTTTATTTTTTCACGAAATAAATGTGGTTTAATCCACATAATTTACTGTGTTAATTGTTTTCTGTAGTATTGTGCACATTACTTTTCGCTGCTTGTTGCACCTGGTTAGAAGCTAAACTGCATTTCGTTGTCTCAGTACCTGCAATATGTGCAATAACAATAAAGTTGAATCTAATCTTGAGCAGGAACAAATGTATTTAGGCTACTTAGTACATATCTGACATAAACGATTAAACACATTTGTGCATTCTTTAAACCGAGTCAAGCCGAGTCCGGAGGTGGCGGCACATTAAAGTGTGCACCTGATTGTTTAACTTGAAGGTGCCTGATGACATTTAATCATTCAAACAAAATCATATTTCGTTTATTTTTAACGAAATAAATGTGATTTAATCCACATAATTTAGGCCTACTGTGTTAATTGTTTAGTATTGTTTAACTTGAAGGTGCCTGATGTGAACATTTCCAGAAGAACTCTAGCTTGAATGGCCTTTGTATGTAGCCTATACAGTAGGCCTACACATAGGCGGCGCGTGAGGCGCAGGTTTGGGAAGGCTAAATAACTTTTTTTTTCATCTTACGCTGCCCTCCTCCGGCGTCTATAGAAAAGAGATCAACTCAGTGAAAGCACCGCCTGCTGACCGATCAGAGCTCAGTGTGCGGAGTTTAAATCTATCAAGTCATATTACAGGAGAAAGGAAATGCAGTTTAAACTGCCGTATGCAGAGAAGACGCCGACGTGTCGCACTTATCATTCATATCACACTGACATCACATCATCACTCAGATAATCGATCTCACATCGATATCACAATATTTCCTTATCTGAGTCAGCTTCTCGAGCCGTATCTGGCCGTGCAACACTTAGTTACATTGTCACATATACTGTATGCAGACGTATTATTTTAAGCAACACATTAAGTTGACAAAACACTCAACTCAAATGTAATAAAGTCAGATCCCCTCGTGTTTTAGATGGGGCAGTATCATAACACTGTTGTACGCTTTCAAACACTCGGTAGTTTATTTTTTAACGAGTTGTTCTGTATTCTCCTTGCAGGTGCAGCTATGTGGCTTGTATCCTGGATTATATGTTTAAGTCATCATGGATGTTTAAAGTTCATATTTGTCTAATATTAGTTTACTTTTCATTAATGAAGTATGATGTTGCGCTGTCAGTACACTTGTCCCTGTTTGTGATTGGTCAAATGTAGCTAACCCCGCCCCTTTCACGTGAACGCGTTCTCAGCTGGAGAGAGAAACCCTGGCTTGATTTACCGAGTTGAAAACCAGCGCCGTAGGACCGTTTAGCGAGATCTCGTTTGTTAGGGTTAGTTAAGATAACTCAAGCATATCCAGGGTCTGTTGAACTGGCTTCGTGGTACAGGGCACAGGTGGCTGCATAGCAGTGCTAATGTCAAAGACATTATATTTTTATTTTACCAGGATGCAGTTACACAAATATTTGGGAAGGCTTAGCCTTCCCTAGCCTACAGCACCTGCCGCCTCTGGGCCTACAGTATAGCCCAACCATGTACACCAGGGGTGGCCAACCAATCAGAGGTAAAGAGCCAATAATTGTCCTGTGTTACTGCAAAGAGCCACATCATACAGTACACACAGGCACACATGCTGGGTGTATGTCCCCCGACCTCTCTCTCCTTCTCTCTTTTGCTCTCAGCCTTTCTGTGTGCTCCCTCACTCTCTTCCTCTATGTGCCCCTCTCTATCTCTCACACATACAAAATGAAAATCTAAAAATGAACAATAATTGACACACACACACACACACTCACACACAGAAACACATACCTCCGCTCAGCCAGATTTCCTATAAATGGCACAGTCCATGATATTGACAGAAATTGACTTAAACCTCTCCTACCAGTATTAAGACCAGAGGCTAGTTATAGTCAACCATTAATATTGTGTCTCACACACAAACTCTCAGTTAAAAACATTTGAAAAAAGTAGTTATCTTACTATGCATGTTGCTTCTTGAAATGTGCAGAGGATGTGGAAGGGGCTCAAATGCATGAAAGGGCACATTTGCGATCTTTGCGACTTTTTTCTCCCTGTCTATATCTCACACACAGATTCATGACAGTTATTTAAAAATAAATAAATAAAATAAATAAAGTGTATTTTAGTTAATTCTCCTCACATGACATCTCAACTTTTACCTAACCCTCTGACTGACAGAAGCTCTGCTGACAGAGATGCACTTTCTCTCTTGTTTATTTCTTTACCGCGAATCACCAACTTCGGGAGTCCTTCTGTGCCAGTAGCCAGCTTTCCGGGAGCAGGCCTTCTCACATACACATATACAACTGCAAATTGTTACCGTTTTGATTTGACAACATTATATTGAGTTATTACGGTTTTATCTGAGTTATATTTCTGCCAATCGGAAGCAGATCTCTCCCTTCACTGTCACATCGCGAGTGCAGTAAAGCCCGCCTCCAGTACTGCAGGATCTGCATTTTGATTGTCTAAAGCACTTCTTTGTTGAAAACTCTGTGTAACGATTGGGCTGGAACTTGTGTGTTGTTAACCCTTTGTGAACTGGAATACATATGCGCAAAAAAAACAAAACACAATTAAAATTCGATATGAACTGAGGAGCCGCATGAGACTGGGCAAAGAGCCGCAGCTCGAGAGCCGCGGGTTTGCCACTCCTGATGTACACCTTCCTTTTTTCCCGTCCAAAGTTTGAATTGGATAAAGGTAATGGTTATCAATGGTGCTTTTATAGCCTATTGTATAATAACTGTGATTTATATTGCTTTTCAAATGCATATGGCCAATTTACACTGCTCTTCCCGTCAAGAATATGAATAGAACTTAGTTAGATCACTTTACATTTCTGCAAATTAATTTTTAATCACACACGTCTCCCCGTCCCGAAAATGATAAATAAAATAAAAAGAGGAAACCATTTTCAAGTTCAGTTTTCAACGTTTTATTTAAAATAACTGACATAACGGACACCATACTGTAGGCCTATCTGCTGCGGAAACCAGGACGAGCTATTTCGGGATCTGTTTTTCGGGGGCTCCTCAGTCTCTCATTTACCCGGCTCCTGATTAGGACACATCCTGGGGATTGTGTTTACAAACATTGACCAGACCGTTCACCAGCCCCCACCCCCCATGTTGCCTATGCTGTCCTGTGTTGCGAACTCTGCGTTTAAAACGAATTGGCCATCGGAATGTGTGGAGGAATTCTCCCAAGGGTCACATTCCACAGCTCCCCCCCCCCCCCCCCACTCCTGTGATCTCCCATCCCCCAGTCTGTAGGTTTGTGTTTGCATATTTCTATCCCGTAATTCATACTGGTCCTCTCACGCACATACATTCTCCTTACAGTATACATACATAGGCTATATGAGTCCGTGTATCTACGGACCATTTGTTTTTCTTTATTAAACAAGTTAACGGAAGAGCGTCTGAGAGTTGTTTTTGCCCTTTTGCTTGTTACCTTACTAAATGGTCTAATGGTCAGTGGAGCGAGGGGGGAGGCCCGCGAAACTCGCGGAAGTGATTTCAAAACAAAAAGCACTCGTTTGCTTGGAACAAAGAAAACGGCCAAGACACACATTGAGTCCAGACAATGAATGTTATTAAGGGCTGTAAATATAATAAGCCTGTGTCTAAAATTGACAACAGGCTTATTATATTTACAGCCCTTAAGATACACTTTTGTGTTTAACAGCTGACCACTACCATGACCTACTTTGTTTTAGTAGATTTCGCATGAGAGCAAAATGTATAAATATTAGCATTAAATTATATGAATATGAGAGCAAAATGTATGAATGTGTGAGTGACAATATATACGTGTGTGAGAGTGAAAATGTATGTATGTAAAAGGAGAATATATGTGTGTGAGAGTGAAAATGTATGTATGTAAAAGGAGAATATATGTGTGAGAGTGAAAATGTATGTATGTAAAAGGAGAATATATGTGTGTAAGAGTGAAAATATGCTGCATTTTGAATGTCCGATAGTCCACCATTTCCACCGGAAATATCAAACATTTAATAAAAGTGAAAAACAATGAACAAGACTTAACGTATTCATCATAATTAATTATATTTATTTCGTTTGGATGTAGGATTTTTGACTTTGTTTAGAGCAGTGATCTTCTACTATATGAACATTTTGGACCCAAAATCACAACAAAAAAACGTAAAAACAGATTTTGAAAATGATATTATTTTTCATATGTAACACAAACATACACAACGAAACCATTTAAAAGCTGGAAATATATACATGGGATGTCACTATGATAATGTGAAAGTTTGATTGAGGTAGCATGGGATTTCATTCTGATAAGGCAAAAGTGTTATTATAAATATAATACAAATATATATATACACATTATGTACAAAAATCAGTTTTTTCTGTCTTTATCTGTGCCACGCTTCAAAGCGGTTTCTGTCAATACGACACAGAGGGCAACATCACAGGTTCCTCCTCCTCCATGTCAAAAAACAAGCTTAAAGCTTGACTCACGTTCAGAGTTCTCTTCATCATAGTTGAATCTTAAAAACTCTAAATCTATCTAACTAAATCTAAATTCTCAATGTTTGTCTGTCACTTTACTTCAATCGCAGTCTCCCGCCGTCCCTCTTCGTCTCTTTTCGTCTCGTTTCGTATCACTCCGTTTACCTGATTACCTAAATACATCCTGTTGAGCAGAATCTACAGTTTCCAGTATTTTCCGTTTCGTAAAATGATCAAATACGGCGAAGATATTAAAATATGTGCTTCCATTATTCATACTTCTGAAATATATCTGTATTAACTTTATATCATCGTATGTCCGTGTTTATTGGGTCTTTTTGCATGAAACAAAGACTGGCATATAGTTTCAAGCCAGTACTTTCGACAGAAATACACATATACATCCTGTTGAGCAGGATCTACAGTTTCCAGTATTATCCGTTTCGTTAAATGATCAAATACGGCGAAGATATTAAAATATGTGCTTCCATTTTTCATACTTTTGAAATGTATTAACTTTATATCATCGTATCTCCGTGTTTACTGGGTCTTTTTGCATGAAACAAAGACTGGGATATAGTTTCAAGCCAGTACTTTCGACAGAAACACACGGCAATGTTGTCCGGACTGTTGTTTTTATGCGGCACTGGCTTGAACAGGTCATGTGATCTGATCACGCCGGTGTGACGGTTGACTCCAAAGGGTTAATATTAAATACATATAAGTATTTTTACAACTTGTATTTAGAAATACTCTGTTGTAATTATTGATGCATAAATGTGTTCATCCATTCAATGTGGCATCTGCTATAATGGGGTTAATGTATGATATTACTTAATAATACAATACATTATAAAATACATGTGAAAACCATACAGTAACAAATAAGTGATTAAATGCTACAGTATTCAGCAAACACAACTGCAGAGCTGCAAACATTGCAAACAGACTAAGTTCATCAACACCCAGTTGTCTTTGTGTATTTTGTGAATGAAGCGCCATCTTATGGTTAAATCCTGTAATTGAACAAATGGGGAAATTGGGCAACGCCCTCTAGCAATTTGGCAACACCCCCAGCCACTGGCATCCGCTGGGCTTTTGACTGGGACACACCCATCTGAGTCTGATCTGGAGTGCTTCATCTGTAGTTCTAAGAAAGGATGAAGATCATTGTCTCAGTTGTGACCCTGCATGACATTTGTACATGTTCTTCAATAAAAAAACATTTAAAAAAATTCCACAGTTTTCTGATGGAGAAAACTAATATTTGACGTTAAATAGACAGGACTTCTTTTTGGGGATTGATATGACCGCACATAGTCCCTTGATCATCCTTAGCAGCGGTCTGTTAGCGAGCTCTAACAGACCTTTTGAATGTCCAAATAGACCAATCAGAATCAAGTATTCAACTAAGCCATTTAATTATCAGTCTTAATTTCTATTGGAAGCTCAGGCAAGGTACATAAATGTATGTTTAAAACATTTTCCACAACGAAGCTGCGCAAAGGTTCAATAGAAAATAAGTTACAAATATAAATCAGAATACCGTTTATTGCAGCGTAGGTTTTCACATACTTTACAAGTGATTGGCATTGTGAGTTGGTAAACTGATAAACATATGAAATGAAAGCAAGAAACAGGGAAAATGAGAATTGTAAATATAGAAAAACTGTTAAAAAATGACAAAAAACTAATATAAATACGTACAATATATCTGAATACTAATTTTTCAAAACACAGGCGAGGAGAAAGTCTAGAATAATAAGAGTATTTAATAATAAAGGTTAAATAAAGGGCAAATAAAAGTGCTATTTCAATGAAAAGTCAGTCATGATTGAACATAAGTCATAAGCCCTTAGTTTTTAAGAGTAGTATGTTGGATAAACTGCCTCAGACGTTTTCAGTAAAGAGAAGAGTTCTCTTTGAATTAGATTTTAGTTTTAGGTTTTCATCTTATAGTTTGTAAGGAAATGTGTGTCCTACCTTAAACATGTTGTGTCTGTTGTACTGTGTCCACAGCAGGAACCCTCTCCTTGCTTCAGATGGGATCACGCCCCCCTCTCAGAGCAGCAACAGTACAGCCACTAACCCCCCCGACATGTCGTGCTGGAACCCCTTTGGTGAGGACAACTTCTCCAAGCTGACCGAGGAGGAGCTGATCGACCGGGAGTTTGACAGACTGCGAGCAAGCAAGTGACCCTTTGCTTGATAGTGTTTTGTTTCTGACATCATAGCAGGAGTCTGTTATTTATTGCAGCAGTCAAAAATAAATTACAGTTTATCTATAACGAGCGCTGAGACTGCGGTTTGGTTTATTAAAGACTAAGAAAACAAGTTTACCGATATCTCATACCTCTACAATTTAAATCATAAGTCACTTTTGAGTGATTCATGAAGTGAAGCGACTTCATCTCAAGGTTAAACCGTATTTTATTAATAGTTTCCATGGACTAAATTAAAAAATAAATCATAACCAAATGCAGTATAATTCAATATCTACCCTTGACTTTGTGTTTAATGTTTTCAAATCTTTCTGTGGTTTGAAAACATCTTGCCTTAGTGTCGCAGCTTTAGATGATTCAGTTTCAGAATACTTTATTGTCCATTACATTAACATAAAATGGAAATGTGTCTTTGGCGCTGGCAGATTAAAAAACGTCATCTTAAAGTAACTAAGTGGCTGTCATAATAAAAAGGCTAAGTGGTTTGTTCTTCCTCTGGCATGAAGTTCATTTAAAAAACCAAAACATCAGAGCATGACACTCAGTTGCATTAAAAAATAAACAATATAAAATGTAGACATTCAAGTTATGTGATGCTGTTTGTGGCAGATGTCCTAAGAAGGATCCTTGAGGTTTGGAAAGGATCTGTTTGTGTGTGTCTTGAATGGTCACGGCTGATAGAAAAATGAATTTCTTGTAGTTGTTTTTCCCAGCCATTGGTGATCTAATCCTCTTCCTCTGGGACCTTTCCATGCAGATGAGCCAGGGGAGAGAACATCCAGCGCTGAAAAGGAGCGAGCGCCGCCTGCCGCCTCCACCCTGCTGCCAGAGGACCTGTTCGGCTCAGTCCCGTTCGTGGCCAGCGCAGGCAAGTCTTAGAGGAGTCTCTACAGAGAGGACCCAACACTGTGGAGCAACCTCCCCCGCCCTCCCCCTTCTCCTGCTCTTCTGTTCCCAGCTGACCTCCTGTCAGCAGCTCCCATGCCACACTGACCCCGCAGTGAGGCATTCAAAACCAATGATTCGATTTTGTTTCGGTTGGCAGATAAGTCCTTAGCATAACATATGAGGAAAAGGTGAGTGTAGGCTCTTCTGTAAATACATTAGGAACAACAGCCGATGCATGAGTGAAATGGTGAAAGCACTTTCCTTATTCACTGCAATCAGCTCTTGCCTTTAATTCTGGGCTTGGTGGCGGTCATTTCTTAATTGCCGTGCTGTAACAAACCTTTATGCAAGTCAGCTAAAAGAAGTGGCCGGATCGAGGTACTAACACATAGGGCTCTCACTAAGAAGTATATACACTCGTGGTGAGGCGCATAATATTACACATTTTATTTCAGTTCATTCAGAACTTCCAGCTCACTGTGTCCAACAGAGAACACCGCTGCATAACATCGCTGTAACATGACGAGGCCATAGAGACGTGTCAGTGTGAAGAGTGAGACACATGGCTGGTACTTATAAGGGCTGAGTGATGAAGACATTGCAGAATAATACAATATTTACACAATCAGTCTACACATAACTTTAAAGCTTTTAACAAGTTTCATGCAAACTATTCTTGATTTCTCATTCGATTGAGTTTTTATGGATTTTTAATATTTTAAAATAGAACAATCCTTGACACAATCCAGTGGCTTTATCTTCTAAATAAAGTTCCTTATTTGGTATTCAGCCAGTGCTGAACATGTTTTTACTTGCAGCTGTCTTCGGTCTTACAGTTTGTCTCTTTGGATCATTTGCTTTGATGAAGTGGATGTTGCTCTTGGATCCAGATATTTAGTGCCAATTTTCTCTTCCGAGAATAATTATTTTAAATAACCACAACACACCATTTAACAATCTGTGTTGCAGAAAGATTGAGCTCCAAGTTGTACAATCAAGCCTGCAATGATCATACATCAAACTTAAAAAAGATGCTACTAGAGTGCGCTATAGGACACATGTTTGTGCCAACACGACACAATTCAGAAAGAGAAGTAACCAAGCCCGCCCCCTAAACCTGGGGTCCTGTCTCACCAGAGCCCTCACAGATAAAGTAAGGAAGCCCTGAGTTTGTGTAACCGGGCTTCGTTCAGAGCACCATCCTCGCCCTCTGTGTGAGGACATTGAGCAGCAGAGCTCTGTGAATGGGTTATCTGCTGGTGGAATCACATGTTTACAGACGGAAGACCTAGGTCCATCATTTTATTTATTTTAACACTATTTTCCACTAAAACCACTTGAAGCACTAAGTAAAGTAGGCTGAATCCAACCATCGTTTCCAAATGTATGACCAAACCTGGCCAAGTCCTCTGTAGAGTCCAGTAATTACATGTGACATAAAATGGGGTTATTCTTCAGAACTCCTACACTGGAGCCAGTGGGGTTTCACAGGAGCCCTGTCACACCCTCCCCCTTTTTGTCTCTTTTTTTTATGTAGTCTTTAAGTTGTTAAGTTGTTGCAAGACATTTTTAATTCTGTAAAAAACTAAAAACCTTCACTTGTGAATGTTGTACATCCTGTTGAATCCCTAATATACTCGAACATCACTCAGCCCTGCTACTGATATTACCATATACCATTAAGGGAAAGGAACACTTGAACTACCAAACTTGTGTCTATTGGCCACCTGTTTACATTTAAACACCATTATTCTCTGCGGCCATTAAAACTGCAAATATACCGCACTAATACATGAATTGTTTGGACAAAGCCTCAAATGTCCATGTGTGGACTGAGCTCTTTACAGCGCAGGCCGTGTTAACATACTCGGCTCGAACTTGGCTTAACTAACCAGTCAGACTGCATGAGGTTGACACAGATCATAGCCTTGGTATAACAATGTGAATATCACAGCGCAGTATTTCAACATATATACCTTTCGGTGGCAGCAATAAGCTTTTGTGCCTCTGTACTCTTCCTGTTCCTTAAATGTGAATTGTTTTTTTAATAGGCAGTTCAAAAACGCTGTTTGTAATATTTACTGATAAACCGTATCAACACTAAAACACATAGATATTTTCTAAAGGGAAATGAGAATAGATTTAGTTTTCCTACAGTAAACTCATCTCGTGTCCTTAAACATGCAGGCTTAATGCAAATCCAGTGGCTACAGTTTAGAGTAGAATGAGACAAGATAATGATGCAATATAAACTTCTAAGCACTTGAATGTAGGTGTGGAAATATGTTATTGTCTTCACTTGTTACTTAAAGAATATACATTTGAATTCAAATTGGAAAACCAAAAAAAAAGAAAATGAAACCAAACAGATTGAAGGGACTTTTGTACTGAATGTAATGTTAGAACGGTCAAATGAACTGGGAGTGATTCCTACAGGCTGGCATGAAGAGAATTCTCCTTTCAGCCTATTAGCTTCCTATGTGTGTGCCATCACAGTGTGTCAGCTGGTTATTGAGGTTGCTCTTTAAATGCAAACACACTGCCAGCAACTGGCATAAATCAGTCCGTTTGTTATTGTTTCTCTGTCGTACAAACCAATCAGGACATGCCATTAGTGTACCGACATGTGACATAGAGTGGTGCAGTGATTACATATTTTTGTGAGCCTCACCCGGAAGTTAGCATCACAAGGGTCCCTCAAACAAAAAGCCATGGCAATTACTTTTGGTATATTGCTAGAAATAAGCTTTGTTGCCCACACACATTTGAATACCCAGCACGTTTGTTTCTGCAGGATAATCTCCATGTATTAACACCACTTTGGGATTCTTGAAGCGTAGTGCAATTGGCAGAAACAATACGTAATGCTATGAACAAACTACGTCATGGTCGCGCACGGCATCGGTCACATTGTAAGCTCTTGTTAACCACAAACACATTCAATCAAACGTTGACCTCGAGACGAGGGAAGTTGAAGTGGTAACATGCTTTTCCTGGTTTAATGACTTTTAACTGCACCAGTCTATAAGTGCCAACTAAATAAATAAACAAATAAAACAGTGCCAGCCCCATGTATGTAAGAACACTTCAAATACATCCAGCAGTATGGCCAAAGTTTGTTTTGCTTTGCTGCATTCACAAAATATGATAGGGGTGTGGATTCAATCCTGACCAAGATTTGATCTCTCTGAAACTGCAGGATTGCTAATAATAATGTCATAAGGCTGTAGAGCAGTCACTGGCAGTGTGACAGCATATTTCAATTTAACATTTGGCTTGCAATTACATTTTTTCTACGGTTTTCTTTTAAAGTGGAAGTCGCTTGGTTTCCATTTCTGAAAACAAAGTGCCTTTTTGTTTAATCTGACTGACGATGCTGATCACGCTTTTTCATACAACGATTACAAAATCGTTTTTTTTATTATCTCAGATTACATTTAGAAGAATACATCTGTAGTTTCCTAAATGTGGAAAATAAAGACCTTTTTGTCAACTTGTCACAGTATAGGCACAAGATACAATTATGAACCTGCACATTAATAATAATAGGGCCCCTTTGAGAAATAAGCAGAAGCAAAAACATACACACCACTGCAATTCTTGACCCTAAAAGTGATGCTTCCCTGTTCCTGATCTGATTGATCCCATGACATAGATCTGTTTATGTTTGAGCACCAACTGACCAACTTTTACTCTTATACATAGTCCCTTCTGTTTTATTATGCTGAACACGACTGGCTGATGGCACATGCAGTAGTGTAATGTAACTTGTTGTGCTGATAGGAATGCTTGCTGACTGCTGATGACCTCTATCAACGGTGAATATTTTAGAATCCATACAATCCTAAAGGGCTGTATGTTTGTTAGTGCTCACTGCCGCTGTTATTCCACATTAGAGCAGCAAGTGAGAAACCCATCTTCATGCTCATTTTTGTATATAAGTGGTCAAATATAGCTCATGTGTTTAGCTGAAGGTAAGTTTGGAGAACTGTTACTGTTCCCCTTCATGTTTCTACTCGTATCACTGCCTGCTTTTATTGGGCCGTTGTGGTAAAACTTCATTTTCAGTTTTTTGTTTGTTGCTTAGTTCATTTGTCATTCAGTGAGACAGCCATACTCCGAAACATCTTGTTCATGTGTATTGGTGGATGGATCTATAGTCTATAGTATAATCGAACCATCAAAGCCAAAAAAAGTGAAGGGGACGACCAGAGCCATTAACTGCACTTTAAGTTCCTGTTATTAAAGTGTGAGGAAGTGTGAAATAATATCCCAAGATTGTTGGGGTTGAACAAGCATAGACATTGAATGTTGTTATATATATTGTTTACATTGATGTGCTTTTTATCCTTTCTGTTGCGGGGTTGGTTTCCCCTTTTTATTAGCATTCTTTGTCGAGCTTTCCGTCCCGATAGAAGCCCCAGAGCAGGTCACTAAAGCTCTGAATCTTTCTGAGTTCATCCTCACGAGAAGTGTTGGCTTCAGTTGTAGTCCTCCTGGCTACCAGCAGCTCCTGGTTCCTCCTGCAGAAAGAATTCAACCTATAGATCAATAATTTGTCTTATCTTGTTGTTCTGTATCATACTGTGAGTGTGAATGTATTTCTTTATAGAATGTTACTGATAAATAAAAAAAACATTTAAAAGCAATTTTCACTTTGGTTCCTTTTGTATGGCTCTTTAAAGTATGTGAAGGTTTAGAGTCTCTCCACCACTACACCATGTGCAAGATGTTCCCTGGGTAACGTGGCTGTCTTTGTTTAATACGTTTACAAAATGATATGTACAATGTCATGTTATGTGAATGTCAAATGTTTAAACACAAGTTCCGGGTTAAGGCATGTCAAAACTAAGCAGCATACTCGGACAGGTGTCCTGCATGCTAAAGCCCTGATGGTGACTAACACATTCTGTGTAGTGTATTCAACTTCAGTTTTCACTGTTTGCCCTGCCTCAAAGGGGCCCTGTTGTGCTTGGTGGGATGTTCACTGTCCTGTAGTGTGGTATAGGTTTTTGTGCAAATGCTAAAATCCCAAGATCCATGCCAGAGGGAGTTTCTCTCTCCCCCCGCCCCAATACCCATTTATTACGCTGAGGAATTCATTCTTCAGATATGTATTTCGAAAACAAGAACATTTCAGGTGATAACATGCTTTTATTTAATAAAATAGGCAGAGCAGCTTTTTATAATAATAATAATAATAATAATAAGATACCCGCGGTAAACATTTTGCTTCAAAATAAATAAAGTATAATGAGTTGTTTTTGGCATTGGCATTTTTTGCCAATTGATATTTTAACACATTTAATATAATCCTGTTTAATTTAGTTTAATCCTTAAACATAAACAGAGCGACATTCAATTTGTAAGAAACAGCTCAACCATCTTACATTTAATTATCTATTTTAATTATTAAATTATATTTATTTATTTATTATATAACGTATCAGCTTGAATTGATTGGTCTAAAAAGGAAAATGCTCCTCTGTCCATTCAAACACATTTAACACACATCTTTCAAATGACTACGTGATTTCCCCTCTATTGTCTGGTTTGCGTTCAAACACAGCAGCTTTAACCGTCAGCACGGGAGGAAGACATGTAGGCCTACTATATATTCAATATTTATTTTGTTGTGCTTTTTTTTTTTTAAATAGTGTGTTTTTTTTTTTAATGATCATTCGGTAAATCCATAAAATGTAAAAAAGTAAATCACTTGTTGTACCTGACCCTCAGACCAACACACTCAGGTATTTAATGAGACACTTTTTCGATGATTGGACACAACAGAGAGAGAAAGCAGCAGATGTAACATTTAGGAAGCCAAGACACAGTCAGTTTAACAATTCCTGCTTCCAAATGAGATAAAACAATTGAAAATAAATCTGTTAGTAATTCAGCGTCTCGCCCTATTTCCTCTAACACTTGAAGCCAGTGATATTATCATATTAGCAGTTAGCTTCTATTAGCAGCTTGTTTCATTTTTTGGTTGAGTCACAAAGGCTTGTAAATGTTGAACTCTGCAGCTTGATCAAATCAATCTGGGTTTAGTGTTCGATGTTAGGGGAAGACTTCTTTCAGCCCCTGCTGTCGGACATCTCAAACACATTTTATCTTCCATCAGACAAGAGGACAGAATCGTGCATGTTTTCCCCACTTATTTGTATCTATTAAGAGATCAGATGCAGCGTGTAATCCTTCAGCTTTCCATCAAAAAGAACAACGACCAAGCAAATCTCCTGATGAAAGATGTTTCTATTGTTGTCACTCTCAGAAGTGAGTTCTAATCTGGGAGCAGTCGGGTGGAGCAGGCAGATGCAGAGCACCCCCCCTCCTTGTTTTGTGCATTAATATTACTTTTCATCTTTTATTGTTGAGAGTTTTACAACAAAGCTGTTTGCTAATCTGTCATAACGTCCTGCCAGCTTTGGGTGGTTGAAGACACGGAGAGGTTTCCATTCTTGTGCTCCCAGCAGGGGGTCCCTTCTCTGCTTTCTAATATAGACTTTCCACTGATAAGGAACAATAAATTGGCTCTTTGTGTATAGCACAATTTATTTTCAATATAATTGGAGACTATCCACTCGCTAATTAGGCTTAGTCTCAAATGTTGTTATTCAAATCTCTTGGACATACATTTAGAAGTAAGGAGTAGTACTTGCAAAAAAAGAAGTGTTATTCATTATTAACTTTAGAGGGAAGTGACAGCTTGAATCTTTTCAACAAAAGATTTAAATTTGAAAGCAATTGTGTGCATCTTGAAAAGCCGACTGGCACATTTCTAAAGCCTGTAAGCCTCCTCTTCTTATTGCAGGGTTAGAGTAGAGGAGTCAGAGCAGCTTTTACGACATATTGAGTTGTGCAATTTCTCCTTCGCTGCTCCTTCTGCTTCAATATTGGACAAACTGTTGGGATTTGTATTTGTGGACTTCCAAACCAAGTAATCAAGATTTCAGTAATGCCTCATACACAGAGGTCAAAGGAGCCATAAGGCATTCTTAGGGAAATGAGAAAGTGTCCTTCTGGCAGCAAGATTCTCCTTCTTTCACCAGTTATTTAAAACATCAGATTTAAAAATATCCGGAAGACTCTGAGGAACTTAATCTGCACATTCAAGAGAATATTCTAAATGCTGAAAGGCTGGTTGCATGTTTAACTCTTACATGTGTGTCTGCTTTATGCAGGTGCAGATGGGACAAACTCTGAGCCGACCAATGAGGAGGTCAGCGTTCTTGCCCTCATCTCAACCCCAGAGGATCTGCAACCAGTAGCGGCTAAGGAACACAAAGTGAGCAGAAAGAGCCACTGCGTCCCAGGTGAAGAGTCCGACAGTGACTTTGAATCTGACCCTCCTTCGCCAAAGAGCAGTGAGGAAGAGGAGCCGGAGGAGGAAGAAGGCCTGAATAGTGAACATGGTGAAGACAATGAGCCAGAGAACTTAGGGCAGAGGCCTCTGTTGATGGACTCTGAAGAAGAGGGAGAGGAGGATGAAGACATGCACAGCTCCGACTCAGACTATGACCCCAGCAGGGTCAGGAGCCACTCAAAGAAAGCTCTGGCCAGTAAAGCAGCTGTAGTGACCCCCAGGAGTTCTCCGGAGAGTCCTGCCATGACTCTGATTAGCCCTCTGGGATCTCTGAGCGGAGTGAGAGCTGCTCCAGCTGAAGATTCTGTGGATGTGTTTGGTTCTGTCCCCTTCCTTGGAGGAACCTCGCCTGTCGGACCAACAGAGAACTCAGACATCTTTGCTAAAGCCCCTTTCAGGCAAGTTAGCGACGAGCAGCTAACAAGGGACGACTTTGATGTTTTTACCAAAGCGCCATTCAACCGGAACCTGTCTAAGTCGGGCCAGAGCGGCAGTGATGTATCCACAGGCCAGACGCTCTCCATTTCCCCTGAGCCCATTGACATTTTTGGCTTCTCTCCCTTTGAGCCAGGTGCCATCGCCCCGTTCCCCACAACCTCCAGAAGCGCAGAAGATATCTTCCATTCGTCTTTCGAGGAGTCGGCCAGCCCTCAGCAGCAGAGGCTAAAGCAGCGCAGCCTCCAGAAGCTGTCGTCCCGACAGAGGAAAAACAAGCAGGAAACCACAACAGGCGGCAGCATCGGCAAACGCCACCACGGTACGCCAACCGGAGGTCGCAAGAGCAACAAGTCGACCTACCGCACACCTGAGAGAGTCCGCAGACACAAGAAGGTCGGCTGCAGAGACTCGCAGAGCAGCAACGAGTTCCTCAGCAGCTCCAACTCTAAAGAGAACATCAGCGTTGATATAACCATGGCCGAGGGGACAGACAAAGGAGCTTCTCTCCCAGTAGACGAGGTTCTTCTGGACCCTTTTGGAGCCAAGCCTTTCCATCCGCAGGACGGCAGTCGGCACAGCCAGTATCAAGGAGTCGCTGACAGCACAAGCGACATGGGCCCAGCCAATAGCAAGTCCTGGTCTGGCTCACTTCCCGACGATCTTGAAGACAGCAGCATGGATGACTTCGGGGCGGTGCCCTTCACAGAAATGGTCGTCCACAGTGGACCTGAGGAGGAACTGCCCTCACAGCCGGGGGACCTCGACCCGTTCGGAGCTGCACCTTTTCCAATGAAGGAGTGACTTCCTGTTCTGCCAGGGGCTGTTAAATAACACCCGAGCACTTTTTCTTTCTTTCTTTCTTGCGAATATCTTCAATCAACCATGAAACGACAAGCTAACAAATGCATCTTTTTTTAAAAGAATATTATAATGCATCTCTATTTGAATAACATCAATCCTGTGGAGTGCGAGTGACGGTGCCACATATCTTTCAGCTGTTCCTGCTGAGAGCCTTTCATGCTGCATCTTAACGCTTGTGAAGACGTTTGAAGCGGAGCAGAAAACCTTCTCGGAAGTCCCACTGTGATTATAAGCTTAACGTTCGACTCGCTGCAAAAAGCTCTTTATGGCTTGCCTTCTCATCTACCAATATTATTTTTTAGCACCTCAAAGCCTTACCTGAGCTAGCTAGGCTCTGCCTTGCCACACAGTCCCTCTGAAACCACGGCACAGACGTTGGCCTTTTTTGTCGCTGAGATTCTTCGGGAATTGACTTTAACCACTTTGTTTTATTCTTATTAGATCTTTCTCTATGCATCATTTAACTCTAGTATTCACACAGCAATGTGAAGCTGTCATCTTTGTTGCATTACACTTTCTAGAGGGGATCACACTTTATTGTACTTCCCTAAAATGCTAATTGAATCAGGTATACATTTTGGCTCTTAACTGTTTTATCCTTTTTAACCGTAAACTTTGAGGTAAGTAATGTTCATTTTAAATGTGTATTCTATAACTCAACATATTTTATTAGAAATAAGGAATGAATAAAACACAAACACATTAGATCACTGTTCTTAAAACCCTTTTAAAATCCCACAAGGTGTACCTCCATTTTCTCAGAAAGTGCTTCTAACATTGGAACCCACAACGTTTTAATTCAAATCCACGCTCAAGAATGAAAACACAATATATCGTTTGTTATTTTTCACAAATCATAAGAAAAGATCAACAATGTGTACATCTGAGTGGAACACTTTCTGAATTCCTGTGTGTGGCTCTCAAACCCAAGCTCATTGCTTCTTACTGAAGCCTTGACAAGGTTGATACCTATCTGTAGATCTACAGTCAAGAGACCCTTACCCCCAGTTTCCACTGGGTCCGTCTGCGCCGCGTTTTTGGTCCGACCTCCTCTAGCGCCATAACCCACCGGACGCGTCCCAGAAGCGTTTCAGAAGCGTAGCGTCGTGCGTGCAGGCTCGCAGTTTTGTTATTGATTCAGGCATCCTGGACATTTGTACTTCTACAAGAAAGTAAGTAGGCTACGTAGTTATGTTTTATTTTTGTGTCTGTTTAAATTGTGTTTATTGAATGGCTCTGTACTGTACCTACAAGTATTAATTAACTTTAAAACATTAATATGTAGTTGTTACCTTCCACTCCACAAACTGCAGCAACTAAAAACCAGGCCTTGTCCTTTCTGATGTTGTCCTTGTAGTAAGCATTGGTTACATCATATCAAATAGTGTGTTTTTCCACTTCCATGATGAAAACATCGTCGTCCATTGTGCGTATCGTAGTGGAGGTGTTGTGATGAAGGAGGGGGTCTGCTAAATTAGTATATGTGGGGGATGGGCCTGGCCCGGATGCTCACATTTCCACTTCCTGCGAGGGGGGGCTGCCTGCCCGATCTTAAGTTACGGCTGCGCCGCGGCAAAAATAGGATTCATCCTAATTTTAGAGAAGCGCTGCGCCGAGCCGCTTCTGGGACGCGTCTGAGCCGTAACGCGGCGTGTGTGGTGGAATAGCACCCATTGACTAGAGTGGCCGCGAACCTTACGACCGCCGCGGCGCAGCCGTAACACGGCGCAGTGCGGCGCAGACGGACCCGGTGGAAACTGGGGGTAATGGGACGTGTCCGGTGGGTTATGGCGCTAGAGGAGGTCGGACCAAAACCACGGCGCAGCGCGGCGCAGACGGACCCAGTGGAAACTGGGGGTCAGCTTAGCTTAGCATAGCATAAACACTGGTAAAAGTGAAAATCGCTAGCCTGGCTTTGACCAACTGTACCAAAATGTGCTTACCAACACATATGAAGTGTAACAATAAGTACTAAAAGTTTGGGTTTTTAATATATGTTTACAGGAAGTTATGTAACACTATTTCTTGAACTGGAGCAGTGACGTCCTCGGGTCCCAGGGGTTTCCGTGAAACCTCAAGGTGACGAAAAGACTAAAGACAGGTGATGGTAGGCAGACTGACCTACTTTTTAGACGGAGCCAGGCTAGCTTTTTTCCCATAACACTCTTTATGCTAAGCTAACCTGCTAATGCTTTCTATTGAAAGCATAGATGTGTGGCATCAATCTCCTCATCAAACTCTAAGCAAAAAAGATATCATTTTATATAAATATATTTTAATTCCAGCAGCAGATAAATACAAATGTTGTGCAGCAGAACACTGTGTGCTGAGTTGAGTCTAGACATGACTTTAGTGGACTAATTGGTCGTAATTTAGTTGATTTGTATTGTTTCATGCAGGTTGAATTCTAGCAAACGTATGAGCACCACTCTTGTATTCACAAGTTCTTTCTGAAAAACTCAGTTGTATAGATCTGTCCATACAACCCAGTCTCATGGCATTTCGTGTTCACCAACACGATTTTTAATCTATTGATTCGTGTTCACCAACACGATGTTCCCCTTTTTTTTTCGTGTTGCACAGCACGATTTTAAAAGCAATGTATTTCTACTGGTAATGTGTTTCGTGCCCGCAGCACGTCTTTTTCTCCGGTCGGGTCGTGGAAGCTGTGTGGTTCATAAAAACATGTTCTTACTCAATATCAAGCCACAGTTATTGCTTTTATTTTAAATCGTATAATTTTGGACTTTTGTTGCCGTCTGTGAGGAAAATAAATGGGGCTCAGAGCCTCAGGATACTGAAATCTGTATTTTTTGAAATCTTTTTTTCCTTCTAATTTGTCATTCTTTTCAAAAATAACACACTTTTATTTACTCACCAATAACACACAATTATCCTTGCTTTTATTTATTGTTTAATTCCATAATCTCGGGCTTTTTTTGGCGTCCGTCAGGAACTGAATTTCAAAATAAAAATAACCGGAAACAGATGTAGGCATTTCGAGCGATTACCCAAGATCCTCAGCTATGGTTTAAGCTCGCTGATTGGATGTTTTAGCCGCAATGCATGCTGGGATTTGGTGTTTATATGATATGAAATCCGGAAAACATTTTTAAAATAATACTTAATTCCGAGTGCTCTTGCTTTTCTCTTTGAAAGTCATCACATAACGGCATTGTAATACACGGTTCGGCTGCATTACATATTACAGATCTGCCGTAGTTCTTTATTTATAGAGCCCTGATGAGAAGACCTTTGGAAAAACTGAAGAAATGCCGCCGAAACTGAATACTTGATGTGGATCATAAATATATCAACAATTAAACAACATCTTCAATTTCTCTTCACACAATACGTCTCCTTGCAGTATCAACACTAATTCGGCTGAGTTTTACATTTGATCTAATTTATAGATTGGTTATATTTTCACCATAACGGTGCACAGCTGATATAAAAGGACTTGTACTTTTTAAAGATATTACTGATTTTCTTTGAATGTAAGAATGTAAATACTGAGTCTGAAATAGTATAGCAATATGCTGTAAAATTATGTGAAAGCATGAATAAAACTACACATCTTCAGATGTTGTACATACATACAAGTGTCCTACACTAATAATATAATAAAAAAAGTTATTATGGCTGTGTGTACCTTGTGTGCACCTCCTAGTGGTTAAAGCACGTTATTGAATTATTGTTTTTATGTTATATTTGATTACAAAAATATTAAGAGTACATACTTTCATAGGGGGAAAGTAGAAGGTCTGTGATAGAAATATAGAATATAAAAAATCAAGAAGATACTATAAGTGATCTCAATAAAACAGTTTAGTGCAGGATGTACAAAGATATTAATAGGAGGAGGTGCAAAACAGAAAAACGAATTAACCTTTATTTAAACATTAAATAACAGATTAAGGTCTTCTTTTAAATAAGAAAAACACTTTGGGGGTATCTATCTACAGATAAATATTAAGCCTGACAAAGTACTTAACGTCTAATATATTGCTTTCCTGCAATGTTAACTATGTTGAAGCACTTATTTTAACTGATATTATACACATTAATTATACTCTTATGTATATTGTAGATAGAATAAGAAATGTGCAGAATATGACAGTTTAATGGTGGAGGTACACACATATTGATAGATGTCTTGTAATGCACTGTTGAGGAACCTGTGACCCAAGTTTTTCATTCATTGCATAACTACACCGTAGTTGTGTATATGATATGTCAATAAACCTTTGAAAATCTTGAAATCTTGAAAGGGATGTGCAAAATAGCCATAATATACAGTCTTTAATTAACTATTAGTAGAGAATAACGAGTAATGAATATACTGTATTACTCGTTTCCATTCATGTAAATTGCAGATACATGTTTAGTCTTCTCAAGCACCAACTATCAAATATCTCTCCTGATTGTTGGCACTTGACAATCACCTTACCTGAATTTTACTCAGGTGTAACTAAAGTCTGATTTAAGGGTTGTTCATATTTCACATAATTAATCAGAATCTGCAAAGTAACTCAAATAAGTGTAGTGGAGTACAAATACCAGGTTAACCTCTGAATTGTAGTGGAGTAGAATTACAAAGTAACAATGAGCTGTCATGTGGGTATTAATGCTGCGCATTATGGACACAAGTGATTTTCACCCATTTATTAATTATATGTTTTACATTTGATAACACCAATGTGTTTAATACTGGCAACTTCTAATTGTGGGGAAAACGTTCTGTAGAGACGTCCCATAGAACATTTTGCGAAACACAATAGCCAGCATGTGTAGTTCTGGGGGGGCGTTCGATTCCAGTTTTGGATAGTCTGGCGTGGTTTCGTTCCATTTCAAACAGCTGTTTGACGCTTGGCGTAACCTTGGCGCACTGCCACTCCAACATCCAATCCCAGAGTTTGAAGATTAATCACGGGGACTGTAGTCCTAAACGATAGCTGGGGATTATGGGTAGTGTAGTGTCTTCGGCCATCCTAAACTCAGAAATGTTGACAATCGCAATGATGCTCGAAATGTCCCTTATATACGTCTGTTTCCGGTTATTTTTATTTTGAAATTCAGTTCCTGACGGACGCCAAAAAAGCCAGAGATTATGGAATTAAACCAATAAATAAAAGCAAGGATAATTGTGTGTTATTGGTGTGTAAATAACATTGTGTTATTTTGAAAAGAATAACAAATTAGAAGGAACATATTTAAAAATACAGATTTCAGTATTCTGAGGCTCTGAGCCCCATTTATTTTCCTCACAGACGGCAACAAAAGTCCGAAATTATACGATTTAAAATAAAAGCAATAATTGTGGCTTGATATTGAGTAAGAACATGTTTTTATGAACCACACAGCTTCCGGTCTTCCACGACCCGACCGGAGAAAAAGACGTGCTGCAGGCACGAAACACATTACCAGTAGAAATACATTGCTTTTAAAATCGTGCTGTGCAACACGAAAAAAAGGGGAAAATCGTGTTGGTGAACACGAATCAATAGATTAAAAATCGTGTTGGTGAACACGAAATGTCATGAGACTGGGTTGCAACCATAACATGAACTAATTGAGGACTGCCAGAACAATGGGATTTCAGGCATTAGCTACAAGGCCATCATTTGTCTTAAAGATTATACATGTTGGTCTTTTCATGTTATTTGTTCAATATAACAAATAATAATGCATGTCTTTCCACAAAATTGGCGTATTCACAAAGAGAAACACATTAAAACCCAATGAGATAATGTGTATTCAGGTCATTTGTATATGCATAGATGCACTTGTCGGCGCTGAATTATTCCATTATCTTGTTCTGTGTGCTCTAGAATGACGGCCTTTAACACTGATTTACCTTCACAACCTTTGGCTCATTGAATTAAACCTGCAGGTCACCGTGTTTGACCAGTGGAACCATTTGATACAACTACTTTCCAGCTTTGATTTTTTTCACAAGGGTATCTGATATTGTATTTATCATGCTTTACTTTTGCTTTACTTTTTTGATGCAATAAAAAAAAGAGTCATCTCAGTGAGGCTGGAAGCGGATGCTTTCAAGAAGAATTTTAAACAAAGCGGTTTTACACTTAACATTTTATTTAGAGTCAAGTTCAGCAGTTCGATATGAAAAGTCAAGATACAAAATGTCTTCTGCTACAAAAGAAGTCTAAGAGCTTTTCAAAGACAAAATGTTCCAGAGAAACCATAACACACAGAGCAGGTCCATAATGAATAATTTAAATACATAACACAAGAGGACATTTCCTCCATCGTAAACTTAAAAACATTAACTATCACACAAAAATGACTTTAATTCCAAATTAGATTGCTACCACTTAACACCTATAGTAATTACATGCCATGTTTCAGACATTAAGACTCAAGCTGACAGCTGTTACGTTTGTGAGAACTTAAACATTTGTATTTTAGAAATTTGAAGCATTTCTGTCAAGGTGACTTATCCAACATGTGCTGAATTTTGGAATCCATCCCATTGTACAACATTGCACAGTACCTTGAATAAGCCAGATAAAGGGTTATTGTCTCAGTTGGTAATGTCAGTGCAGGCAGAAAAAGCATTTTGCAAAAACAAACTATTTAAATGACAAATGTACAATGGCTAACAATGCTGCAAATGGTAGATTAAAGTTGCAATATGAACTGCAATACATGTGGATACAGACATTTAACATTTAAAATCAGTGCTTGAATATTAAAAAAAAACTCAAAAGAACTCAAATAAAAATGTCCGACTTCTGTAGAAAGCATTATTTTAAACTTTATGGAAGTGTATTTAAGTCTTTCAGTTCACGTACACATACAGTTGGGTCTCTGGCGTGCCTACAAACCCAACAACTGAATTAAGACAGCCCAATCAAGTCTTCAAAGTCCTCCTTTAAAAGGCTCCTGGCCTAAAGTCAGAACCTGGAGGCAGAGCTCTGTTTAACGGCCAAAATGTACCACTCCATTTGAATAGGCCTCGGCTCTCTTTGCGTGGGGGTGTATAATAATAAAATAAAGATGTGAGGGAGAAATGTTAGAATAAAACAATACTTGTATCTGGTAGGTGATTGGGTATTCTGCTCATTTGTTCAATACACTGGGATTTAACACTTTAAGATAACATTGCAGTCGGTCTAAATGTCAGTTTAATAATTAAGGCTGTGCAGTCCAACACATAACTAATGTAAATCCAGACACCAGGTACTGACACACCTGCAGTTTATGATAGTTTGTAGTAGCTGTACAAAGAGTCAGTATACGTCACAGTCCTGGGACTCGAACAGTAGATTGTCTCAACACAGCTAATGCACACACTGAAGGAGAACATGAATACACTGAATGTAACACAAACTGATGAAGATAACACAAGTCTTTGGTTTTCTAACTAAACATGAATGAATTACTAGTTAGTTTGATAACTTACTGGAACTGCCAGAACAAGCTGTTTTAGAAGCATCATCACTAAATGGAAATCGGAATAGGTTGTTTTGGGGGCGCAGGATGCTTTTCATATTCTCACAAATCTTTAAAAACAGGTGGTTCATTTGAAAAGTTGGGCAGAAATGTACATCAGTTAATTCAATAAGCGCTACATGTTTTATTAACAGGCACTTAAACAACTCTTATAGAAAATGCTACTTAACCTTAACTTGCGACCTTAATGATTTAAAGCTGCTTTTTAGGTTGTGTGACATTGCGGTGCAAAGGAGTTTTGTAGTTTGACGCACGGTCTGGTGGTGATAGTGGTAAGAATGAGTTAGAGCTGCTATGACTGTTCAGCTACACACAGAGGTCCTGTGAACACACACTGAACACATGATCCCTTCCATCCTTAAGGGAGCCCCTCTGGTGTTTCCTCCACAGGCAGGGGGCTGAGACCCTTACAGGTGAGTGTGTGTGCGTCTGAGGAGATGGACTGGAGGTCTGTCCCTGGTGTCCCCTGCTTTCACCTCAACATGCTGGAATACTCTGCAGCCGTTCACCAGCTGAAGGAAATAAATGGTTTGATCGGTTAAACAATAAAATGATCATAGTATATTTTCATAATGCATAGAATTTAAAACTGTTACAGCAAATAACAAGTCAGTGCTTTTCCAGACATTTAGACTTAATGTCTGTCGTTTTTTTAAATGTTTTTTTTGTACATTATATTGAAGATAATCTTTAGAAAAGCGTCATTATGTCAAAACTATCAAAGAAACATCTAAGCATGTCGACGATATAACAAATCGATAAAAACGACATTGTATGGTATGTTGAAAATGTGCAGGTGTGCAGACAACATTCCTCAAAAGTCTCTGCAGCTGTTGAGCTGACTGACAGCTGACTGACAGTCAATCCCAAAGGGATCAGCTGTTGCTTTCCTCAAAAACGCCCGCCGCTTAATGTGACGCTCAAGAGGAACAGACATCTCATTGCTCTTTAAAATCATTTCCTCGTTTTCTCTCTCTTTGCAGAGATTCGTAGTTAAAGAAACGTGGATGTGATTTAAGAGACGTGGCATGTGCCCGTCATGTTAGAGAGGTCTGGAGCTGCAGCGTTCACAATCAGCTGCAGCTGTCTAATGGAAGTTTTGTGAGACCTGGAAAGACACAGTTACTGAAGATAAATGCATGGGCAAGTTTTTTCTTTAATCAAAAGGTTATAGTAAATAACGATATAGTAAATATAGTAAATTATTAGAATAGTAAGTCAAAAAATATATTTATGAAAAAGTCAAAATACTATATCAAATGAGATTAAAAAAAAGGCACTAATACCTTTATACTAATAGCATAGTGTTTCCAAAAAATGCTCTTGCCATTCTGACCCAGAATTGTGTCCGCAGGGAATATATGACTCATACTTTTAAAGACCAAGTGGATATACAAAAATAATACTTATAAGGTCATAGAAATGCTTACAGTTAGACATAGTCGGATATCCCATGGTGCACAGCAGCACCCTAGTCGTGGTGGGGGGCGTTCGGGCAGGGCTCGCTGTGTCTGTACGCCATGATGAAACATGACGACTGGTGCCACCAGTAGAACATCAGCACCAGCAGAAGGTGCCACACCTGGTGGCTGGAGCCCAGGTAGTTGAGCTGACCTGCAGCAACATCACAGACAAAAGGAATTAGCAACAAAACTAAATTCTTAGCATTTGTCTTCTATGAAATTGATAGCTTTACAGACAACTGAGCTTGGAGAGGACATATTTTGTGGGAGAGAAACTCTCTCTGGAGGAAGTTTGGGGATTTTAGCCTTTGCAGACCATTTACATGCACAACAATCACACACTGCAGGGAAGGGAAAGCCTTAAAAAGCAGAATAGGGATGCTTCAAGATCATGATTTGATCATAAGGCTGTTATTTACACAACAACTGATGTACAAAAGGATGTTTTTCATGTATTTTGTGTACCCTTTTTGGAAAACAACATGACACACACACACTCACCTGGGAAGTAGCGTTCAGGAACTTTTGAAACGTAGAAAATGAGTGCTAATGCAGCGATGAAGTACATCCCCAGGATTCGAGGAACAAAGGCCTGAAGAGGACAAACATCTGCTTAACTAACGTGTGGACAAAACTGAACAACAGTCTACATGTCTCAGCAAAATGAAAACAGTTACCGAATTGCAGACATTTTAAAGCTAAAATAACTAATTATTAGCACTATTCCTCTATATTGTTTCTTCAAGATTGGACATATTGAATGTTCAAACAGCTCAACATTTAATCAACCTTTGAAAAATCATTCTGGTGACTGTGCTGACCTGGACCAGCTCGGAGGAGAAGCCCCCGGTGAGGCAGATCCAGTGGAGGGTGGGGATGAGGCCGAAGCCCGCCACCAGGCAGAAGGTGAGCGAGCGCATCTGCTTCCACTGCTTGCCGAGGTAGTGAGGGTGGATCTGAGCGAAGAACACGGCCAGGATCATGGCCAGGACCGTCACCAGGTACACCTGCCGCCAGTACTGCAAAGGTCAAAGGTCAAATCACACCTTCTATACACAGGTACAATGCACACATCCTGTGGATCAGCGTCATTCTTACATTTCAATAAAACAATATGAAAATGTCAATAAAACATTCAAAAGTATTAGAAGTCATAAAAGTATTGTTGGATTTATTCATAAAAAGCAATAGTTAAGAACGTCATTAATAAAAGTTATAATATAGTATGTATTGGAAACGCTCACAAAAAGGTCCTAGTACGTCAGAAACAATGAATTGGCATAAAGAAAACCTAAACTCTTAGTATAGTAACCAATACCAAATGTCATAAGACAGTCTATAGCATTAACTGAATTCATGAACAGCCATAGTTTAGAACGTCATAACATATTTCATGATAATATAGTATGTTGAAAAAAAGGAATTGTATACTGTCATCAAAATGCCATATAAATAGACTTAATAAAGTCTTCCACGTAAAATGTGGTAGTATAATGTGCAATGAAAAAGTCATGGTGATCATAAAACATCCACAACATAATATTGGAGGTATTGCAGACATCAACAGGTTTGTAAAAGAGAACCTGAAGTAGTCACTGGAGGAAAACACTATAGGATCGTAGATGTAGACGCATTCACCTCAAACTGAACAGAAACCTTTCAGAGAGCTGGTGAAGCAGACTAAATAAAGGAAATACAGAACTTTTCAAAAGAGTGGCAAGCAGCAAAAGAACATGAACGGCCGACAGGATCATTTTAAAATTCAAATGAATCCTTTATCTGTGTTAAATACAAACACCATTTCTTGAGTTTTGACAATGTTAAGTCTTTTAAAAGTATGTGTTTTTTTTATAAATGTTTACATGGACTGCTTTTTTTGCTATGTTTGTAAAATGTAATTTTCTGAAATGTTTTATGTGAGGGAGGGAGTGCGGATGGAAATGAGCTCAAAGCTAAATCTGGCACTGTTACGCCTGACACATTTGAATGTTTTAAGTGTCCATCACTGTGCATTGTCGCTGCCAAATAAACGATTCAATGACAAATTGTGGATATGCATGTTTTGCACACTGGACAGCTGATTTTGTCCTGTTGTTACTTCTGAGCCAACTAGGGAGCCAACATCACAGAGAACACTCATTACATCAATGTTTTTGAAATATTTTTAGATTTGACGGAGAAGGGTGTACTTGTAGTTTTTACTAGTCCTTTTATTAGAGATGTGTCGGTGTTTGTTTTTAGAGTGTGTCAGGATAGATCCCTTGTCTTTTTCTCTGCAAACAAAATCTACCTACGGGTACAAATAAAGAACCTGAACATAAGAACACATTTCATTAGCTGTATTCAAGACGGTTTAAAGGGGACCTATTATACTTTTTGAGGTTTTCATTTCCTGTAGTATGTTATGTTGATTTGTGTGCATGTAATGGTCTGCAAAGACAAAGCCCGGTTGCCGTGACTTTTTCGGTGGTACAGCAGTTTTCAGTTGTCACGATTGTATATTGTGCCATCGATTGGCCGTAGTTTGAACGCAGTCAGACAAAATAAAATACAATATATAAGTCGCTTCGGAGTATAAGTAGCAGGACCAGCCAGACTTGTAGTGCGGAAAATACACTATTTATGTTGTCAAAACAACAATTTAAAGACTTCACCTTGGGCTTCAGGAACTTGTGAAGACAATTTTTTCTATTTCCTGATCTTTAATTGACTGAATATAAGATAGATTAATACAAAATGTAAACAATTGTTTGTTGTTTTTCCACGTTTTCATTCCTTTGGTTATTTTTCCTCTTCTCTATTTTTGAGTAAACACCTCAGTTGGTCTGGGGCATATGATGATATAACAAAGTTCCTTGATAAAACCATGAAGATCTATGTACGTATGTGCTAAAAACTAAAAAGCATTCATCATACTTATGATTACAGTCCTCAGTGTTTCTTAAAACTTCTATAAGTAACTGTGCACAGTCTGGACAGCTTCGTCTCAGTCCCTTCTGTCCATTTGTGTGGATGTAGGCCTCCGTCCAGTCACACATCCTCATGTGACGAGTCCTGCTGAATTTCACAGTGAATACATTTACACCAGGAACAAGGCCCCGCTCTGCTCAAGCCAACTTTCTTAAGCTTTTCTCCTAAACAGACACCGTGTTCTCTTCTCCAAATCTGCATTTCTTAAACACTGTGATGAGATGAGAGTTTCACTGGCTAAATATACAAATGTTTTTTTTTCTGTAGGGACTTGGCTTGCCACAGGAGTGGAGCCACCCAGAAGCGGAGCCCTAGTCTTGGCAAGGACGGGGAGGGCCCCTTCGCTGAGACGGCTCCCAGACTTGCGAACGTCATATGGTGGGGAACAGGAGTGACGGACCGCTCCGTGAACGCAGCCATCTGGTTTGGGCTGGAGCAGATTTCAGCTGCGTTCTGGGGGCAAAATAACCCGGCGCTTCCAATATGCGGGGGAAAGCGAGCAGGAAGGAGCACAGCCAAGTACTTCAGGAGTAAAAAAAATAAATAAATGAAAAGAGAAGCAACCAGGAAAGGAAAAACATGGTGGTGGGCGGCTGTCATCAGAGGCTGTTATCCAAACGGAGAGCGCAGCAAAGGTGTCATGTTGCTTATTCACCAGAACAATGAGTCAATGGGCACAGCCACACTCGGCAGCAGCTTTATTCAATAACTGCTTCTAAGGCCGAGGACATTGAGCTTAAAGCCTCATTGGAGGCCGGTGGTTACATGTTGGAGCGATGATTTGTGCAGATGCGCTCACACATTAACACTTCAATGTTAGCTCTGAAGGGGCCCTATTGCGCTTTATTGGATTTTCCCTTTCCTGGAGTGGGTTTTTTCGTTTTCTGTGCATGTAAATGGTCTGCAAAGTCAAAAATCCCAAAGTTCCCTCCAGAGGGAGTTTCTCTCCCACACACTACCTGAAACGCCTTAATCTGACTCCTTTGTTTACTTCCATAACATAATGACATCACTATGTAACACTTGCACTTTTATTGGCTCCAGCTCCAACACATTGTCCGTGATAGGCTGAGGGGTGGGACACCTCTTATCTGTTGACTAATCATGACAGAGCCGGCCAGATTACCAATCAGAGCAGACTGGGCTCTGGTTTCAGACAGAGGGTGAAAAGAGGTGCTGCAGCACAGGCAGTATGAGGACAATAAAGAGCTTTTTGAACATTGAAGCATGGAGACATGTCACAGGAGAGGCTACATACTAATATGAACCTGAAGATGAACATTTAGGGGCTCTTTTAATTTAAAGGCAGTGAGTGTAGACTCAATTCTCAACTCCAGTAAACTTAAGAAAATGTATCTTTCCAAAGATTGTGACCACCACACATGCGATTCATCCGCTGGGAAGGCACCACATTTTGTCTGAAAGCTTCTGAGCAAACTGCAGATTAACAGAATCCTTCAAAAGAATCAACTTCATTTAAGGCAAGGCAAGTTTATTTATATAGCACCTTTCAACACAAGGCAATTCAAAGTGCTTTACAAAAAACGAAAGGACAAGTGTCAAATGTCAGAGATATCTAAGTTCTTCCAAAGTCATGCTTCGCTTCAAAGTATTCTGGTTCTGATTTGTGTTTAGTGATATATAATGTGCTTTACCAATTGTCTAAAGTTATGTATACTGTGAATCTTCTTTTGTATTTCTGTGCCAATTCAATCACTTTGTATGGAAACAATAAAGTATGTGCTGAGCAGAGGTCACGTTAACCGAATATTTTCCGTCTATGACAGATTTTTTTTAACAATGATGGAAAAATCTGAAAGCAGTCCGTCATTTTGACAGATTAGAACAAACTCGGAACAGCGCCAAAGTTTCCCCGCAGCGAGACTCCGGTGTTATGCATGCCTGCCAAAAAGGAAATGATACCGTTTCCAAACCCAACTTTGCCGTACAAATCATTGAAATGTCTGAGTTTTGGCTTTACGCTGTGCGCACTCCTGCGAGGTGCAGTGGGCATGCATAACACGGCACTAACAGTTCACGAGCGTGCGCCCCGCCCCGCCCCCCGTTGACAGTTCCCGACTGTGCTTCCCCCCCCACACCCCCGTTAACAGTTCACGACCGACCGCCCTCCCCCCCCGGTTGACAGTTCTCTCTCTCTCTCCCCCCCAGAGTGTAAAGGCCGACGGGTAACACTGAATTTTGACGGAAATTTTACGATCCTGTCCGTCAAAATGACGGGCAGTGAAAAAGTCTAGCGCAACCTCTGGTGCTGAGGTATGAGGTAGCTGCTGACTGATCATATTTACCACCTATGCTGTCAATAAAGAGGAAATAAGACCCTAAATATGCATGCAGATATTGCAGAAAAATCAAAGATAACAAGTCAGGGTAAACCAGAGAAGTGCTGGCTGACTAACTCACATTATTGCAGTAGAAGGTGTAGAAGACTCCGGGGACGTAGCAGCCAAGGATGCCGATGGAGACTCCGGCGTAGTCCAGCGCCAGCCAACGGCGGCTGGTCTTCTCAGAGCGGTGGCAACAGAACAGGTGGTAACCCACCGAACACAGCATACACAGCTGAGGAAGGTAAGACAACAAGGGGAGAGTCAGCCATATGAACATCGAGACAACAAGTGGGCAAATATTATGATTTTTAAAGAGGTGTCTTAGCCATTTTCATTCCAAAATTCAGCCTTTTTTACATTTATTTTTTAATTGGACTTTTAAGACTCTGGTTGTAATGCCTGGTCCAGCCAATTGCTGGATAAATTGTTTTCATTTGAGGAAAGAACTGCCAATGTTTTGAAGATGGTCCTTCTGTAACCACTCCATTAAGGTAACACCATGCAATTGTCACATTTTCAGTTTCCAGGACTTTTGGGTAATTGGAATCACCACATTGCTCAACATAAAGATAAACCTTGTTGCAAAAGCTTGAGGTAAAAACAGACCTGAAATATATGTAATTAATCCTTATTTATTTTTACATAAAGTGATGCTACAATTTGGTCTCAAAAAGTGACCATGTACGAGTTCAGGCTTTGACATTATATAGGTAGTTATAATTCAAACCTGAAATACACTCACTGGTCACTTTATTAGGTACACGTGTTCAACTGCTTGTTAACCCAAATATCTTATCAGCCAATCACATGGCAGCAACTCAATGCCTTTAGGAATATAGACATGTTCAAGACGACCTGGTGAACTCCAACAGAGCATCAGAATAGGGAAGAAAGGTGGTTAAAGTGACTTTGAACTGGTTGTTGGTGCCAGGCGGGCTGGTCTGAGTATTTCAGAAGCTGCTGATCTATTGGGATTTTCACGCACAACCATCTATAGGTCTTACAGAGAATGGTCTGAACATATTCTTAAAGAGGACATGTTATACAAATGTTAAGGTTTCAATTGTATTTAGTGACTGACTCTACTGTGACATGTTTACATGATTTAATGTTCAAAAAGGTCTTCATTTGTCTGCAGCACTTCTTTTCACCCTCTGTCTGAAACCAGAGCCCAGTCTGCTCTGATTGGCTAGCTGGTCGGCTCTGTTGTGATTGGTCAACCGCTTAGAAATATGTTGGAAATGTCCCACCCTTTAGCTTATCACAGCCAATGTGTTGGAGCTGTAGCCAATAGAAGCGTGAGCGGTACATATTGATGTCACCATGTTATGGAGGTAACCTGATGTCACCATGTTATGGAGGTAAACAAAGGAGTCAGGTGGATGTGTTTTAGGAAGGGGTGGAGTGTGGGAGAGAAACTCTCTCTGGAGGTAGCTTTGGGATTTTAGCCTTTCTTAGTTTCTTTGTAATTCTTTTACCCAAGCAACTTATTTCTTAGATTGTTTCTGTTCACACCACCAGACACCAAAGCTAATTCCTTGTATGTGTAAGGGTACCTTGCAATAAACTTGATTCTGATTATTTGCAGACCATTTACATGCACAAACAAATGTTACAGTAATAAGGAGACATACTAATCATATTTTCCACAGCATGGCAATGGAGAAATGAAAGCTGGGTCCTGTACCTGGAAGCAGAAGAGTCCGATGGAGTAGATGACGTAGTCCTCTTTGGAGGCGCCGATGGCCGGCAGCACTGTGGCCATGTTGTACACGCCGATAAAGAAGAAGAGCAGGAAGCCCAACAGATGGCTCCAGATGTTCACCGTCTCATTTGACAGAATGAAGAGGCTGCACAGATATATAAACAGATACATCAGATTTAAGAAATATTGCATTATACTTCTCTAAAATAATATTTTAGCTTGAGATCTGTAATGACACGCAACAGCACAGCCCAACACACAACATCCACCCATCTTCTAACGCTTATCCGAAACCGGGTCGCGGAGTAAGCAGTAACACACAACATGCGATAAGAAAATGTTTGGATTCCAGAAAGTTTACAATTTGGGATCCTTTGTAGCTGACTGTAAAACTTATGTGGCTTCATATAATCAACACATCTAAAACAATGAATTTGTAAGTGGCTAAAAAAAAGCCATTTAGTAGGCACATGATACAACATATCCGTGGGGTATTTTAGCATAAACAATGGGCACTAAAAACCAAGGTGGAGAAATAAAACCTTTCCCCCTACACAGTTGTAATGAAATGCACAACTTACATGTATTATTATTCCAACAATGTTTTTCTGTTTCAGTGTGGTCTAGCTTTTGAGTCTGAACCCATTCTTATATTCTTTACCTCTTGATGCACAGCCTGGAGGGCAGGTAGGCTCTGTATCCATCGGTGATGTAAGGGTTCTCCCTCAGAAACACTGGGATCTGTTCATAGGTGTACAGTCTGATACCGCGGGGCACCAGCACGGGCCAGTACTGATAACTTCCCAGCTCGATGTAGTGAGCCGTTTGGGCACTCTTTTGTGGTTTCTGAGGCATAGCTGTAGTCTGACCTGAAGCTGAGGATAAAAAAAAGTCACATCCAGATCCAATTAAAGCCTCACAAGTCTTATTTAACATTATAGCCTGGCTAAACAGTTGCTGTTACACTTTGACTCTGGCTTGAGTTTAACTGAGCTATCAACCAGTGCAAGGTGAACAAGTGGTTTCTACTGTCTAGTTAAGAAATGACACACTTGTTAAAATCTTATGATATCACTATTTCAAGAGGAATAGAAAAAAAAGCATAATTGAAAAGCAAGTTCTCTAGATATTATCTGTATGAAAGAAACTACATGAGCTAATATTAGCTAGCTGACAGTAATTGGCTGACTGGCTTGTCTTTCATGTAATCCCATTTCGTTAACTATACCAAGCTTGTTCTTTCCCCTCCAATTGTTTTTGAGAAAAACTAGCTCCAGTGTCTGTTCAGAAATATGTAAATTGTAGGCCTAGCATGTTAGCAAACGATAACCCCCAGAACATTGCTCAAGAGTTTTAGTCACAGGTTACACAACTGTAATCTAATTAGCATCAAATATTCAAAGCACAACGTATTATTACGTTTACATATCTAGAAACGATGCCATCTTTTTCATTGGTGTGCGAGCTTTGTATCACCTGCAATAACAGTGATTTTGTTGACATAACGTTCCTGCTTGGTTAATCATTATAAGCCGATTATGACCAAAGAAGTAACTGTAAAATAAATAATTGTAAATGAATCCCTAGGTTGTAAATAATATTGTCGTCAACCAAGTCAATTTTGGAATAACATCATTGTCTAAGCAGTTTGACAGCTAGTGGTTAAATACTGTACAGCTTTGATGTGTCTGAAAAGGCTATCAGAGCTAGCTCACATGCCGCTTTGTTTAGAGATATTACATTAAAAACAAACTCACCTTTCAGTTTGGTATATGTGCAGTTTGTTCCATTTTGGGGCTTATAGTACGTACTACGCATTTGTCAACGTATGTTACCATTAAGTTTAAAACAACGCAGTGTATATTAAAGTTCCTGCTACAACATCTTCCAAATCACCAGATACGTCATCAGCAACGGACCCATCCACCGTGCCCAAAGACTGCCTGAGTAAAAACAAACAAAGCCATCGCTAAAGCATGAAAGGGTAACAACATTGTTTCCTTATCTTATTTCAACAGTTGAAAAGTATGGAGGACAGAACTTGCCAAAACCTAAACCAAATTCATAAATAAAAAAACTCGAAATAAATAATAAATAAATACAAAATAATAATAATAAAATGTGCCATTAAATGTATTTGCTTCACGTAGGCCTATACATTTCCTTTTTATTTATTTGTTCACTAACGTTTAAATGGATTAATTTATTTTTGCACTCATTTATTTATTATTAAAGTTGTTGTTGAGATGTACAGCTAGTTTTCTGGGATATTAAATGTTACACAAAACACCTTTAAAACTATTTAAATGGGAAATGAATTCCAAGTACAGCTGTCATGAATGGGGAAATGATCAGAACCAGTTTTTAGACCAGATGTTAACATGTGTATTTATTCTGTTAAGTTTGTCTATGGTTAAATATAGTCTAAAGTTGGTCTATGGGGATTTACCTGCGTTTGGAGCGAGCCTCAAGTGTTTGTGTTCGAGGAACTTCCTTCTAAAGTCCCAGCTCTTTGATGTGATGAGAATTATGCAATGTTGAAATTAAAAAGTAGTTTTTCCCATTTTTGCCCCAATGCCTTGTACTTCATCTAAAATCCTGCATTAACTTTTCAATTGGTACATTTCAGGAAAGCTTACTAGTTACATTTAATTAAAAACTCCACCTGCAAGATGCTCTTTAAATGTAGGCCGGTGAGTGCAGCTTTCAGTCTCCTGGCTGTCAGCCCGCTGCACTGTGCGACTGTGTTACATCCTCCTGTCGCTAACTGTCATCCAGAATCCTCGTCACAGTGAGCGTTGGCCACAGTACTCTCAGGTGTGAGAGATGTTGGAGGATTCCCTCAGGAGGGAAGTCACACTCAGTCCTCCCTCTGCCGTTTACACCTCTCTTTAATTGCCTCACTCTCAACTGGAAGTGTGTTCTTCATTATCACGTCTAATACACCTCTCAGCACATTGACTCTGGCAAATTGTCAGCTGCCAAGTTAAGATAGTAACTCGTGCATGCAAGGGCAAACAACATGAAACTCCTGCTGCTGCAGTCGCTGCTCAGTATTAATTGATTTTGTAGGCTAACAGTTGGCAGTTGGCCCATTTTACACACTGACTTGTTGGTTTTTCTCCAGGCAGTAAGTCAAATGAAAGGATCATTCAAATTCATCACAATTATTTTTCACGGTTTTGTCCATATCTTTTAGTAATTACACACAATATAAATGCTGGTCATCTGGTCATGTTTTTTTCTGGCAGGAAACATGACCGACAATCAGTTTAGTAAATAAACGAAGTTGTGCCATGAATACTAAAACTTCCCTTCCATTAGGTTATTAAAGGTCCCATGTCATGCTTTTCCGGTTATTACCCGTCCCCTTGTGTGTTATGAAGGTTTTTATGCATGTAAACGGTCTGCAGAGTCAAAACCCTCAAAGTACACCCTGTAGCGAGTAAAACTCTAACACACAGATAATACCTGTCTGTGCTGCCCCAGAACGCCTCGTTGGAGATTTCTCTTTTTCTTCCTGGGTACAGTGACGTGCCCATACGCAAATGGACCCATTGGTCCAAATGGACCAATCCGTGGAGCCGTTGCGTTTTGGCGTTACGCTAAGCTTCCTCACACACACACACTCAATCTTTTCTCAGCTGCAGCTCCACCGATTTCTCCACCGACGCGGCGAGGCTGTGAGTCGGTGTGTGAGCACACACACAAACTCCCAGCCAGGCTGCGGGTGTGTGTGTGTTCAGGCTGGGTTTCGCTGTCTCGCAGACGGCCACTGGGCTCACAGGGAGGGGGGGACAGGAGCTCCAACAAGCCGTTTAGGACAGAGAGTGAATACACATAGCCTACTATACAGAGATGCTGTACGAGAAACCAATGTGAGTTTGGAAAATTGCACAATATAAAAAACATAAATATATTTTTGTATACCTCAACAATGGAATTACGATCAGTAGAAATGGCCATGACATGGGACCTTTAAATCTTGGTGGGGTGTAATGTAAATATATAAAGAAAACAAATTATTCAACTGAAACACCGAGCACAATCTTGCCAGCTCTCTAAAAGTAGCTAGCAGTTGCAAAATCTGTCAAGTTGGCAACACTGACAGCCGTCTTTCGGCCTCTCTCCAAAGTCACTTCCCCCTATCATTTTGTAAGTACTTAAACAACTTACATGGCTTTCATGCTGTAATGCTAGCATGCTGTCATGCTAGTAGCTTCTGGAAACTGGTGATGTGCAATGAGTGCACACAGCCAATCAAATCATTTGGTTGGCTGCAGGAATTGATAGAATGAACTTAAGACACGAGACAGCAACAGATAAGTGTGTTTTATTTATTTTTTAAGAAAATTGGATTCGTTAATTGTTGTCCGAATGTAAAGAGTAGACTATTTGCAGTTAAAATCTTTCTTGACTAGATTACATATAATACATATTCTGGGTTTTCCCTTTTCTGTGTTGTGTCCATATAGTATTTTGTGCTGGTAAATGGGATGCTTCAATGGGAATCCTTTGCCTTCTTCCATAACATAGTGACATCACTTTGTAACGCTCTATTGGCTTGTACTTCAACAGATTCTACGCTAAGGTGTAGGACATTTCATATAAACCTGACAATTAGTTGTTCAAAAGGAAAATGTTTATCAGAGAGTTTCATGGTGTTGCCTTTTAAGCCATGGAAACAGAACGTAGTACATTCATACAGAGGACACGCCTCTCACATGCACTGTGGTCGTTCATTAAAAAAAACTCCCCGTCTCCTGCCCTACCACCTTCTTCCTGAATCTTCACCGATTCACTGTGACAATCTGTCGTTGGGCCTTTTTTATCTTCTCAATCCTTGCCTTTGCTTCCTGTCCTCCATTTTTCTGTCAGACTTAACATATAGAGACATGTGCCTCAATGTAATTGTGCATTAAGCGGCGTGTAATGGGACATGAAATTAAACTGCTCCAACTTAATCTCTGAATGTTACTTATAAAAAGCAGGAGATGATTTGTGTTTTGGCCGTTTCTACAGTGTTGAAATATCACAATGTTTTCATGAGGTGCGTCTTTCAATGAAATGTGCAATAAAACAGCACTACATTGCATCTTAATTGAGGGTGCCTACTGTCTTGGCAAGTGAAAGTCTCTCCTTTCTAAACAATGTGCTGTTAGAATGGTTTAAATAGAGATAGACAGATAGCCCCCAGGCCACCAATGTCCTTCGGGATTGTCAGGGTCGTCAAAGGAACACAAGGCTATGCTGGTGTGTTTCTCCCTGAGTCTTGCACTTAAATGGCTCATTACGTTAGAGTAAAAAACATTAGATGTTATACCTCTTCTCACTTATGTTAAACAAATGCTAAATTGACTATATGCTATTGCACAGAGGAGAAATTAACAATGCATGACACGTTTCCTATTGAATCCATCCTCAGGCCCCTCTCTCTACGTGAACCTCAGCTTCCACCATTTCCTCTCCCACCTGCCCAATGGTAAACAACTTCGAGAAAACCTCACATCTTGGGGCTAGAATCTGTATTTTTCTCTCAAAATCCTAAACACAAAAATCTCAGGCATCACAGGCTTCAAAAGCAGGGCCCGCCAAATGTTAGCCCGCCTGTCGTGCCAAGACTAGACAGGCCCTTTGCAAAGCTAACATGGCCTCGCGGCGGCTTGTGCTCGTCAGCGGCCGGCTGGTCTCATTGGCTTTATTTATAGTCGGCGCCACAAGACATCTGCTGGAGACGAGACTCTGTCCTCTGTGTCCACACAGCACTGCACAGAGGGAGCTTGTCAACGCTTTTTCGAAAGGCAAAGTGTTTGCGAGGACCTCGGTCAGAGGAGGGGAGAGACGGCTGCAACCTTCCTCTAATAGGACGGGTGTCCCCTTCGATTGCTTTCTCCGCAGCTCTGATTAACGAGACCGGAAGACAGAGGGAGGCTTCACAGTTTGTCGTGTCTCGTGTGTTAGCCGATGTTTACTTGATCTGAGAGCTGTTGTTTGTTTGGTGTGTTCAGTCTGGTCGTCGCTCGCCACTATTTTGGGACCCTGACACTTGGATGCAGCTCGTCTGATGCGGCCTCGCCTTTTCCTCCCCCCTCCTCCGTGTCACACAGAGTTTTTCACTCTCCCCCATCCTCTCCGCTTCACATTGAGGACGTCTGGATGTCTCTGGCTGACCGTGCTTTAGGCCTTGACACAAAGTGTCGGGGACAGCTCTTTGCTCTTCCCACAGAGCGGGGGGTGAAGTCAGACTGCCACAGAGGGAGAGAGTGTGAAAATACTCTGTTCACATGTTCCTGAAGAGAAGCAACCTGAGAAAGCCGACATTACAAGAAGAGAGTATAAATACCAGAAATCATAACAAATCTGGTTTATCTGTTCTACAGACCATTGCACATATAATATTTCAAGTCAAAAGTAGTACGTTGTTGCTGTGTTGCATTTTAATAAAGTAGTTGTACACAGTACAAATATGTATTTAATGAAACACTGTTTTAACCCAGATTAAGGCTTCCCTAAATTACAAAAGAAATCTGCCATGAAGAGGAATCTCATTGGTCTTTCTGCTCTGAAACCTCAATAGGTGCCCTGAGGAGCCCCTTCACTAAGTTCTCCCATCAGGGCTCATTGATGAAACTCAGACTCTTTCCTGTAGTGTGTTTTACAGGTTTCTGTGCACGTAAATGGTCTTCAAAGGCTTACATTCCAAAGTTCATGCAAAAGAAAGTTTCTCTCCCACACCCCCCTCTGCCTGAAACGCCTCTATTGGAATCCTTTGATTTTTCCCGTAATATAGTGACATCACTCTGTAACACTCGCGTTTCTATTGGCTAGCACTTCAACACATTGTATGTGATAAGCTAAGAGGTGGGACTCTAAACGGTTGACCAATCACAACAGAGCCGGCCAGCTAACCAATCAGAGCAGATTGGGCTCTGGTTTCAGACAT